TCATTTGCCAACTTCTCTAAGATAACGCTTTTCTTTGTAAATATTTCAGTTTTTAGAGTTTTAAAATGATTGCACGCCACATAAAACAACACCTTTGCATCCACCGTTTGAAATCTGCTCCAGGAACATAAAGTTATGGTGCCTGCTGGATTTGAGCAGGCAACGATCTGATTGGTGGTAATTGACAATAGCAAACTCATACATTTGTACATCCAGCTGTCTGTTCAGGGGAGGAGCGTACACACATTTCCGAAACAGCGGCTGGGAATCGAGCCAATGGTCTGGGTCCCCAATGGACTCAACAAATTACCAAAAGTGCATTTTAAATTTTGTTTTATCTTCATTGGGAAATTGACAATGGCTTTTTTAACAGGCCAATCATAGCGCTTACTCAAATCCTGGAACTCAGCTGGGGGCCCTGAACAAGGATTTCAGTGTTGTTTCACGGAGGGACTTTAGTTATGTCTGTGACACAGGCTGATGCCCCAACAGTTAGTGTTTCAAAAAGCGTCAAATCCCCCATGCACCAGTGACTATTCAAAAATTTTCCTGTGCGAAAAACCATTTGTTCAAGTGGAAATATCCAACTAAGTGCAACTGAAATATCTAAAGTCTTGGAAAGCTGTCAACTGGTACATTTGTATCTCAACATTCTCCAATTTGTAAACTGCAAACCTCCCATTGGCCTGCATGGCAAGTATGTGTTTACTCAATGTGTAAGCAAAGCCCATTTAAGTGGCTGGGTCAACAGCACTACAACACTGTTATGTACTATGTTGTTGTTGGCAATCCTGACTCATGCTTTCCACAAATGCTTTTCTCAAAGTTTTGCTTCTAAGAGTAAATAAATTACTTAGTGACCAACCTTGCTCATATGATATTCTGTAAGTGAAGGTTCTTTATAGATTTCTTGTAGTAAAAGTTGTTTCTCTAGCAGTTGCCAGTGTTTGCAGTTTCATGGAAATGTTTTATGAGGCCATGTTAGGGTAAAATTCTGACAAGTGATATAGGCTTGAAACAGCGACATAGGACAGCAGAAATGGCAACAAACAGCACATAAAAAAGCGTAAATACAATAGTAAAGTACCAACGGCGACATGGCTTCCTCCAAAATGTGCGAAATAACAGGTTTTGAAATTCAGACTAAGGACATAGATACTGTAAAATATGACCTAATAAACACCTGTGGCTGCATCTATTTAATTTTAGGGGTTTAAGTGGGGGTATTTAATGGATAGGAGCTGTTTATTCTCATAACTGTTTCAAACTCAGCAAATCTAATATGCTGTCTGCGAAATTATTAAGAGAGTTTAAAAATAGCAGAATATCCACTCCATGAATTAATATGCCTACATCATCTAGAGATCCACATTGCTCTTTCAAATCCCAACATTGATGTCAGAATCCTCGCTGCTATTGTGTTGCATCATTAGTCTATCCTTACTTTGAACTTGAAATTGAACACAATAAAGTACACAATGCCTTGTTAATCAAGTAAGAAAGTGAATGAATTGAATGAATTAGCTCCTTTTTGCTAATTCCTAGTATTTTGGAGTAATTCTCACTGGGGGTGTCTATTAGACAGGGGGCGCTTATTAGAGAGGGTTGTCTAATACAATTTTAACTGCATAGAGGGGGCATTTATTAGATAAGAGGCGTTTATTTGAAGGTGGGCCTTTACTAGGTCATTTACTATATTAAGCCCCTTAACCCATTCGCTCCTGGAGATTTTGCCGAAAAACGCGTTTTGAAGCTAGTCGAGTGGTTTTCTGGTCACTGTCGTGCTATAAAGAGCTAAAACTTACCACAAACCGGTTTACAGGTCGTACACTGGGCGGCCTTCTAATCCAGATGCAAAATATCAGCTTGCGAAGTTCGGGCATGCGCAGAAAGCAAAATTTCGACATAGTTTTTGGGTTTAAAAGTGACACAGCAGTCTTGACTTTTACTTTTCGCTTTCTCTCCTCCCTTCATTTTTCGCTTTTCTTGCCTCATTTTTTTTTTCTCTTGCTGGGCATTTAGTAGGCTTCATTTTGGTGGGAAGAGTTTTTAGGAAAGCTTTTAGGATCTTAGGATTAGGTGAAAGGAAAGGTAGGTGGGTAATGGGACAAGATTTTCATGGAGATTTTCAGGTCCTTGTCACGTGGTTTTTTGCTTCCTTTCTCCGGTGTCCTTGACTGAATTGTGCTCATTCTGGTATGGTTTGAAAGATCTCTTCACTCTGCACAAGTTAGCGAAGAAAGTTGTCCTTGACCGTTAAAACTGATGACGTCACAAAGGGTAGAAAGGACCTGGATCCGCACGGGCGGTTCAGGGGCGAATGGGTTAATCAAAAAACCTAAAAATGGCCTTTTACCAACTTTTTCACCTGATTTTACATGAAATAGACAGATTTGGTTGTTTTATGCTGAAAAGTGGATTTTTTTCAAAAAGCTTGGTACTCTGCTTAACCCATTCGCTCCTGGAGATTTTGCCGAAAAACGCGTTTTGAAGCTAGTTGAGTGGTTTTCTGGTCACTGTCGTGCTATAAAGAGCTAAAACTTACCACAAACCGGTTTACAGGTCGTACACTTGGCGGCCTTCTAATCCAGATGCAAAATATCAGCTTGCGAAGTTCGGGCATCAGGGACATAGTTTTTGGGTTTAAAAGTGACACAGCAGTCTTGACTTTTACTTTTTGCTTTCTCTCCTCCTTCTTTTTTCGCTTTTCTTGCCTCATTTTTTTTTTCTCTTGCTGGGCATTTAGTAGGCTTCATTTTGGTGGGAAGAGTTTTTAGGAAAGCTTTTTAGGATCTTAGGATTAGGTGAAAGGAAAGGTGGTTTAATGGAACAAGATTTTCATGGAGATTTTCAGGTCCTTGTCACGTGGTTTTTTGCTTCCTTTCTCCGGTGTCCTTGACTGAATTGTGCTCATTCTGGTATGGTTTGAAAGATCTCTTCACTCTGCACAAGTTAGCGAAGAAAGTTGTCCTTGACCGTTAAAACTGATGACGTCACAAAGGGTAGAAAGGACCTGGATCCGCATGGGCGGTTACGGGCGGTTCAGGGGCGAATGGGTTAAGCAGGCCAGGGTAGGCTATATTTGTAGAAAAAAAGGGGCAAAATTGTTTTTTCTCTTGAAGGTTTTTGTTAGCCTGCGATTACGGCCTGTTTCTCCTGTCCGGTATCTGGTCAGTAGCTCTGATTGGTTGACATAGTAGTTGTATGACAAAGGACAAAATGCCACAAAGGTCAATGTAAACAGGGTCGTAAACGTGAGGATCAACTACAAAAGATTCAATCTTCAATATATTCTTCTTTAGAAAAAGCAGGCGAGGAGAAACAGCTGTACTCGCGAACTAGGTTTTTGTCGGATTACCTTTGTCTTCAGAGCATATTACAGAGAGAGCTTGATTCATAAAAGTTATATGAAAGCCTAGAGCTCTCTTTAAGGTGCCTTTGAAATTCTAGCCTTTCTGTCTTTTTCAAGAAAATAGAAACATTCCTTATTAACTCAATTTTCTCAATTTTTTCCTTTAGCTATTACTCCTTTTATACTACTATGTAGGAAATTTCTGCAATCTGATTGGCTCAGAGCAGTGGTATTTTAGCTTAATTTGAAATACCTACACGTGAAAATTACAAACCTTTTGCAGGTAGTAGTATAAACAAAATTAATAATACCATGATTTGTCTGTGATATTTGGCATAAATACCTCTCGTAATATTTCAAAATTATTGTCTCAAATGTCATGTGCCTAGTGGCATGTGAAATTACATATAACAATTTTGAAATATCACTAGTGGTATTTATGCCAAATATCACTACAAATCGTGCTATTACCTATACGAATATCAAATGACAGAGTATGTCGAACTTATCAATAAAAATTTGGCTTTCATGAGAAGTAATAACCAAGACTTTTGTACACTGTAAGTCTCTGTCGTGATTGAAAAAACTTTATCAATTTATCCTCCAGCTTTTACAATTGATCCTGATAATTATTACAGTGTAACTTTCTAATAAGATACAGTTGATGCTGTCTTTGCCACCACTCTTGCTAGTGACCAGCTCTAGTTAGGAGCACCTTTGCAAAACTCCTGTCAGTGACGTTTTTGTTGCTGTCACCACCATTGTTGCTAGAGCTCCCTAAAGGTTCCCTCCCGAGAACATGGAGTAAAATTACGTCATGTTGTTTACAAAGTTTGTATAGGTAATAGCATGATTTGTAGTGATATTTGGCATAAATACCACGAGTGATATTTCAAAATTGTTATACGTAATTTCACGAGCCTATAGGTGAGTGAAATTTGAGACAATTTTGAAATATCACCAGTGGTATTTATGCCAAATATCACGTACAAATCATGCTATTATTTGTTTATACTACTACCGCCAAAATGTTTGTAATTTTCTCATGTAGGTATTTCAAATTAAGCTGAAATACCACTGCTCTAAGCCAATCAAATTGCAGAAATTTCTCATGCAGTAGTATAAGATTGGTTAGTTATCTTTTCTTCTTGTTCCAAATGTGGTAGTAGCAAAAATGAAAATTCATGAGCATCAGACCAAGCAAACATAATTGTGAGAGTTGCACGTTTCAACCCTTTATGAGTTTCTGACGGCTTCAAAATCGTCTGATGTAGATCAACTCATTCTTTCATAATATCAATATTATAATATTTTTTTCATAATACTAGTCATGTCTATATCAGATATAAAGACACTCTTTTTTTTTTTCTTTACCATGCGGTTGGTTACAAGAGCTCATTCTTGTAAGTGACCAACTCTAGTTACGACCACTTTTTTGAATTGGTGGTCACTTACCAGAGCTTTGACTATAGTATTATTACTTTTTCAGGTAATTCTACATTATCATTGTAGAAGATGGTGTGTTACTAATAATGATAAATAATTATTAATAATAAATAATAAATTATTATTAACTCAAAGTATTTTTAGTTGCTTAAAATGATTATTTTGTGACTGTTACAGATTCAAAATCAACAGAAAAAGTGAGATGACACTAAATGTGACATTAGCCTCTGACAGTGATGGTTGGAACAAAATTGTTAACGAACAGCTAGTGGTTGAATTGGCCAAGGACAAAAGACTTAAAGTAAGTGGATTTGTGCCCCGTAACACAAAGGAACAGAGAGATCATGCAGAGAGTATAAACATCAAACTTGTGGATGCTGAGGATTTCTCTGGTTACTCAGCAATTGAACTTTTGGCACATCCTCCCGATAGTCTTGATATTGATATTCTGTTGATACATTCAGTTGGGCCTGCCCTTGGACGACAAGCACAAGTTATAAAGAAACACAAGAAATGCAAGTGGGCACAAGTTGTCCATATAGCTTGTGAGGATGTTCAGGAATTCTTAGAAAGTGCAGATAAAAATGATCGTAAACTTCAGGCTGAGTTGTGTGGAAAGGCTGATATCATCATTACTATTGGTCCAAAGGTTGCTGAAGAATGCAAACGTTTCCTACGCTGCTCTGGAAAGCATGGAGATGTCTTTGAGCTAACTCCTGGAATTATTGAAAGCCCTCATATCCGTCAAGTATACGAAGATACAGGCAAATTTTATGTTTTGTTCAGTGGCTCATGGAAATATTTTAAAGCAAAGGGAGGGGACATTGCAGCCCAAGCAATCAAGTTCCTCAATGCATCATCCTACCACTTGATAGTTGCCCTAAGGCCTTGTGAGAGGGAGAATGAGGAAGAGATTAAGCAGGCCTTACAACAGGAGGGCGTTGACCATCACCAATTCAGCGTAAGAATCTCTGAGAGTCATCAAGACTGGTGGAAATGGCTGTGCGAGGTGGATCTGATCATTAAACCATCAAGAGCTGAAGGATTTGGAATGAGTGGCCTTCTTGCTATTTCAGCCAACCTTCCTGTTCTGATCAGCACATACAGTGGACTTGGTGTTGTTCTGAAGAATATGTCCTCTGGACAAAAGCACGTGGTGGAATCTGAAGATCCACAGGTTTGGGCTGACAGAATACGAGAGATCAAAGAAAAAGGTAAAGAAACACGCTGGATGGAAGCTGAGGAGCTGAGAAATGAATATATGACACAGTTCAGCTGGAAGGAACAGTGCGATAAATTGGTGGAGACGTTTTCTGGAATGGTCCAGCAAGGTGATGGTATGTGATGTAGATTTATTGCTTTTTCCATCTACATGTACCATAGCAAAATTTTAGTTTTAGTGGCAGGTCTATAAACTGTATAGCTGAGAGGCACATACCCTTTAAGGTGGCTATACATGTCAATGCCTCAGTACAAATTTTGCTCTAGCCATACATCCTTAAAGTAGTGATAATAGTTTGTACATGTGAGCTGTTATCATTAGGACAGACACTAATAAGAAGATATACTGGCGATTGTTTTTCAGCACTCTGTTCATAATAATATTTTCTTTGTCTAGTGAACAGGTTTCTGTTAAGATCTGGCAAAGAAAAAATAGAAATAGTGAAACTCTGCGATAGAAAAGAATCGTATCATGGATTTGTTTAATCTCTTCTTGTGAGTTTTTTTGTGTATGTAATAAAGTTTTTGTTGTTGACCTGCGCTCATACAATAAAACCTAAAACAAGAAACTGCGGATTAAGGACCTCTAAGCTGAAATTTGGCCTGAATAAGATGTTTGTAAGTCATGTTATTTAATAAGAACCACTCTGTCTTATGCTAAAGGAAACAGGGGTTCTTAGATGTACCCTTTTTCTGTACTGTTTTTTCTCCAACGAGAGTAAGAGGCTTTCCTCTGGGCTAAATTAGTAACTAGGTTACCCCATTCCCTTCTACTCGCATACTCAAACACAAGGATTCCCCAACAAAAGCTGTTTTCCTCACTTGCTTCTCTCGTTTGACTATACAGCATCATCTCCTCTCTATCTGAATGTAGTTGCAGAGTTCTTTTATGTGCATTAGTTTATCAAAAGCTAGTTTCCGATTTGTTGAATGATACACCTACTGAAGTTACTGCCTTTATCTTAGGTTCCCCTTTAAAGGTTCCCCTGTTTTGGTCAAAATTTCAGGCACTTATTTAAGGAAATGCTTACTTCAAGTAAGTAATGTGTTGTGAGAAATTTGTTCCGTCTTTTTTGCTAATGATTACCACATTTTCTAATCTTGCAGGTGAAGATTCAAACCACCAGGAAACACACCAGGCACTAACACTACAGAGGCTGTCCACCAAAGTCAAAGAAATACCTCTAAGTGTCTTTTCCCAGGTATGTGTGAAGTTAAACGTCAAACAACAGTTGGGATTCAATGACTTCAGAATGTTCGCTGAGAGAGTTGGATTAAAAAGGGATGAAACAGACTACATAGACCAAAGATTTCCAAACCCCACTGAGGAAATTGTGAACAAGTGGACACAGAAGGGTCAGGCAACAGTTGGGCAACTGATTGAGTGGTTGAAGGACGACAGTTTTCAAAGGATGGATGTAGCAGAAATCCTTGAGGACTGGGTCAAGGGAAGACCATCACAGTGAATGGGGACGTGATTTTCCTTATTATAAAAACATCATTCAGCAGAAACTTGGTGATAGCTTGATGTTTCAATTTTATCTAAATTAATTATTTTTAGGTTTTTAGAATTTTTTTAAATTTCTCGTAGCCAATTTATAAATATTTGTCGTGCGCGCAGCGCGCGTATCGCGTCGATCGCACAGCGAGGCAGAAACTCGAGTTGGCAATATTTCTATATATCTCTTGGGTGTCCGCAGTTGGCAGTGTGGTCCAGTGGTCTGGGAGCTGACTTCTCTTGGAGGAGGTACATGTATTCATGGTGTAAGTTCGAATCTTTGCGTGGATATTTTCGTTTTCTTTGTACATTTTTTTTCTGGTTGGTTTTTATTATCGTATTTTTTACCCTTTGGCTTGTTTTCCCTTTACTCTTACTGCTGGCCCTTTACAACGTTGCGAGATTTTTGTGCGATAGCGTATTTCTTTAGTTTAATTTTACACAGGGGGCGTAGGCAGACTTATGAGATTATGATTCCCCCTCCTCCTCTCCAAGAAATGTTGAGAAGGATAATGACCCACGCCGGCTTCTAGCGTAAAAAACGCTAGAAAAAAAGAGGTAACTGGTACACATTTTAGCAAAACCGATGTAGATTATATTTAGAAGGCCGTCATCGGTTGTTACACAACCGTAAAAAGGTTTTTTACAAAAAAGGGAGAGACCGCTACCGTTAGACACGTGTGCCGACTGGCGTACACGTCGCTACGCCTGTGGTACAATCATGTATAATTTCAAATGCAATAATCTCAGTACTGTACAAGTATATCTACATCACTATGGTGTAGGTCAATAATTGAACCTCAAGAGGTGACAGAACTGTAATCTGTGCGAAAGATTTTAGATTCTTAAAGCTACAATAAATAGGGAAAACAACGTCCTTTTCCTGAGAAACTTTTAAAGAACATATACTAACCTATTGTTTATATGAATCTGAAATCCACTTCCATCGTTTCTATATGTTGCAGGTAAAATCTTTCCTCAGGTTAAACCACTCAATACTGTAAGCTTCCACGGATAAATTTAGGTTTCTGGGAAACTGCCCACCTACCCCTCCCCTAAGCCAACATTTTGTAATTGCTAATGTTGGCCCCCAGTGGTGATAGGCCCATCTACTTGTAAACAAAAAAATTACGTGCGGTTATAAGCCCCCCTCTAGCTTCTATTATAATGAATTCGGTTTTTTACTGACGACAGTTTGAAGCATAAAAAACGAGTATGAGTGTGCAAAGAGTTTCCACAATTTCAATGCTGCTTGTATTAGACGTAAGAGTATGTAGACACTGATATATCGTGTATTGCACGTTAAATATATAGGCTTATTTTTATATAATCGTAAGCTCGAAAGTCTCTCTAAACTAGGAAACGTTGCTTCTTCTTATGTGCCTAAACTAGGAAATAAATGTTTGGGCAGCCACAGTTACATCCTGGAGAAAGAAAGTTTTGTAACTGTAATTTGTTTACCCACGAAGCACTTGAGTTCTTATGAACTCGTTTAAACGTGTCCACGCGTTCCAGATCGTTACATTTGTTCTTCCACAATCGAGATCCAGAAGTAGCATTTTTACATGGAAATGATTCCAAAGAATGTGTTCTAGTTTAGAGAGGACCTCATGTACAAAAATTATATAAAACCGTTGTCAGGCAAACCAAGAGACAATTAAAATCACCTTTTTTTAAGAAATGACGTAGTCTACACAGCTTTTTGCTTCTTTTTCTCTTAAAAAGAAGAAAATGACAAAGTCCTCGAAATTAATAATATCTCGCACGCCTTTGCTCAGTATTTTATGGCTCTTCTTTGTGATCAAACGCGTTTCCCAACGGCACTGGATTCAGTGAATTAACCTGATCAAGAGTGAGCTGATTATCCTGGTTGGAAATACGACGAATTGTTTCCCCCTAAAGGATATTTTGGGGCAGAGGTACCGTATTTATTCGATCAGGCGCCCAGGGTGATTAATAAATTTTTGGGCCTTGAAAGGGGGCGCTTTTTAATTTCATGATTTTCAGTAAATAGCAACAAAACAGTATATAAATAAATAATGGTAAATAATATCAAAACGTGAAGATGTGCCAGAGCAGAATTTTAACTGTTCATTGATAGTTTATTTTAGAAAAAGACTAAGAACTCGGTTCTTCGGTCAATGCCTCTCATTGTCAGTCAGAGGTCAATAAGCGAACTCTGGTGCTGCGTCTTCGATGTGTCACAGCGTAACGTCGTCAAATAGGTCAGTCGACGAGAGGCAGATAGGGCGGTAAAGAAATAACCAATGCTCTTCTTGTCCACTTCAGTAATTCATTTTTGGGTGAGGGGCGGGGGGGGGGTGGTGGGTTTGGGTGCGTGCTTATTCGAGGCTAGGCGCTCAACTTTTCCTCCCTACAGGATGGGCGATTATTCGAGGTGGTTGCTAATTCGAGGCTGGGTGCTTAATAGGATAAATACGGTAAATAGGCCGCATTTTCTTTTCGAACCTTCTTGAGAAGGTGAGTGAACTAGGCTCTTATTAGTCAAGAACGACCTTAAAGAAACTGAACAGTTCTAGAGGCTGGGTCAAGTTGCAAATTTGACCATACGAGACACCACGATAAAGTTAATTTTGCTACGCCGTGTAACGTGTAGATGAATAGCGTCAAAAGTTTTTATGAACTCAAATGTTTAAAGCCAAAGACCAATATAAACTTTCGCAACATTCAAGACAGTTAGAAACTTCATTCTTTATTGTCCACGTATAACACCCCTTACCTATACACCACGGTCACGATGGTTGCCTTTGTGTCTAGGTTTAATATCCTGAGAGCAAGCTAAGAGACACAAAAAACCAGGAAATGCAATATGTTTTCCAGAAAAATACACATTTATTCGCTTTCATTATAGTCAAAGCAATAAAGCTATTGTCCTTTTCGCATGTTTGCAATTCAACGGTTTTTATGAATATTTTCCTTATTCTTTTCCCTAATCTTTTTTCTTCACGTTTTATTTCTAACACTAAACGGTACTCCAGCAGGCTTGAAGCGCCGTGGAGGATCTCGTGGACCAGGAACCGTAAAAGGGAGAACACCTGAAAGAAAGAATTAAAATAGATTGATGATATTTAACGTAACGATCAAAACAAACATGGCAGTTTTACATGTACATGTACATGGACGATGACTGTGAGCATTTCTCTTTCAGCCAATTGAGTCCAGGCAGAGCGAACGGACCGACAGGGGAACCAGGCTTCGCATCTCGCCTTTTCCCCAGTTTCCCCTCGGCTCGCCATTGTTTCCTTCGCTCGCGCAAGTATCCTGGAGTACTGCCAGCAGTCTAAGGGCCTCTTCACATGAGCCCGGTTTCCGAGATCTCGCTTAAACTCTAAATCCTTTGTAAAATTTTTGATGTGTTCATGTGAGAGGGCGGGCTGGCTATTGCAGAAGCACGATCTGTGCTTCCCTTCTTACCACACTGGATCTATAATCTCTCACACATCAGCAGAGAATAACTGAGCTAATCGATGTGTCTGCTATTCGATACAGCCAACCATAAAGCCTGTGAGAGTGACTGAGAAAGCATTCTTGGAGCCAAAGGAGTGGTACCTACCTTTGTCTTTCGCTTCTTCAATTGCCTTCAATAGAAGTTTCTGTTGTCTTCGACAAACACCTAAAAAAAAAGAGACATGATTTAAGGTTGAAACAGTTAATAAAAAAGGGAGTAAATTTCAATTTATAGTCATTTAAGTAGTACATATAACTCAAACAAATAACAAGTCGGCCACATGTATTCGTTACGAGTTATGAGAGGATTTCAGACAGTTTTATTGGATTGTACACATCTTTTGTGAATAGTCTGGTCTCAGAAAAACTTGTTCCCATTTCCGTACGCCTTAGAACGAACCAAGTGACAGACCCATGCTATAACTCCGGTTTATGGAAAGAAAAGAAGTAAAGCTGCTGTAACCAAAACATGTTTCCGTTAGTTACCCGATCCTATCAATTATGCAAGTAGTGGTGACCAGTTCTTAAAAGATAAAGCACCAGTCAAGCGTTAAAACGATGCCTTGAACCTTTTGATTCATCAATTTACGCAAGTATTGGTGACCAGTTCTTAAATGATAAAGCACCAGTCAAACAACGATGCCGTCAAGATTGTTGCTAAAGCTGCGCCACAGAATTCTCCTAGCAGTTAAAACAAAAAAAATTCAAACAACTTCAAAGAACGCTAACCATCTTCCAAACTCTTACAACATCTTGTGAAGCCTAAAAAGAGGCAAAATTCGCGTCTTCATCGAACATTGATCAATTTAAGGAATTGCCCATGGCTGGTCATAGGCTGGTCATAGAGCCTACAGATGAGGTGCTACAGACAAATACACCACTGACCCACGATGACAAACCAAGCCGACCATTGCTTTCACACTCAACACAAGACCAACACTGGCAGGATCAGCTCAGCTCAGTTGGTAGAGTACGACCTTGCAGAGTGGGAAGTCGAGGGTTGGATCCACGGGGCCGCACCAACATCAAATGAAGCTCAAATAAAGTGCATTTTGGGGTGTAAAGAAAAAGTAAATGTAAGAAAATAAATTGCAGTTCAAAAATACCTGTTTTTTGTACTTCAAGAACTAATCCAGTATATGGGCTGATAAACTGACTCAACAAACCAACATCCTGGAAAAAAACAATGCACAAGGTTTCAAATTTATCTGTTTTTTGCACATCACACAAAGTAACAGAAAACTTTGGTGCCTAACCAACAAGAAGCAACACCACGAAAAACGATGTTTAAATCATGGTTCTACGCTGCCTTTCATTTCTGGTGCGCAAAAGTTAACGAAAATACCAGTTTTCTAAGTTTCAGCAGTCTGAAGATGGTTTTTGGAGTGTCCACACTATTTTATGGTTGTCTCCTTTACTATATCTATTTGTTCTTCTGTTAGGCTTTTACAGGGCGTCTTCCCCGAAACAAAAGTGTCAAAACTGAAATACCAAGGAACTTGAAAATATTTTCTAGGAAGTTAGTAAGTAGTGGGTAGGTTTCATCTCCAATTTTCTAGTTTGGCCTGTTTGTCAGAATTGCGCACATTTCGGCAAGTTCAGCATCAAAGTAATATTAAACCATTAATCGTGATGTCATCATAAGTGGTATATGTACAAGTGCATATGGTTCTGCTTGATGGTTGAGGTGTTTGTCTGGTTCAATAACTAGCATCGTGCTGCCGCAAAAAAAGTCATAGTAAGCATTATCCAAACACTGTTCCAAGAATTTTAGCTTTTGGTGCAACGTTGTTATTAGTGGATTGTAATTTGGGGAGTCAAGTCAGTAATTAAGGGCCAAAGTCACTCAGTTGCAATGCCCTTCTCATTATTAACCCTTTAAGTCCCAATAGTGACCAACATCAATTTTCTCCTAACGATATCCATACAATGTCAAGAGATTACGTTATGAGAATTAATAAAATGATCACCTAAGGGAAATTGCCTCGATCTTTTATCAAATTCTCTCAACTTATTCTTGAAGGAAATGTATAGAGATCAGTTTGGAGAATTTGTATGTGGATATTGGGGCTTAAAGGGTTAAAGGGTTAAACAACTGATACTACTCACTGTATAGACAAGGTCATAGTTTTTCTTAGCTTTAAGTTGACACAGCGGACAAGGATTACTGCAGACAACGGTTCGCCTCTACAATTAAGAAGATTGTCACAAACGATTACTTATTACATAACATATCTTGGGTTAGGGAATGATTGCTGTAATTTTGTTTTTCACGCTTGTGAATTATTGAAGCAAATGTTAATTTACCCAAAGGTTGGATAGCGCTATCCACCGGATAAATCGCTCTCCGGCAGATGAGTGTTAGGGAATCCAATTGCGTAATCCAGTGGATAGCATTATCCACCTTTTCAACAACTGGGGCCTGGATGGTACATACACAATAAAATGATTTTATTTACCCAGTAAAGTAGATAGTTTGTTTGCATGTGCTAATAATTGGTTATTTCTACCTATCATCTCCACATACATGAGTCTAGTTTAGACAAGTGAGGAAAATTAAAGACGCAAAATGCAAAACAGGATAGTAGTGTTGTACAAGTCTTTGATTCAGTACAGAGATAACTACAAACAAAAGATAATCGCAATAGGTTTCTGTATTGTCGTTCAGTCCTTCTTCATCGTAAGTTGGTTTTGCATATTATCAAGTGGACATACTATGACTTAAACTTCTTTTTCATTCTCTAAGAGAACAGCTCTGTTAATAAGCACTTACAATGCATCTTTCTCGAGTTCTCTGGAACAGAATTATGAAAAGAAGGTTTCAGTATACATAAAATAAAAGCAATTAGAAGAGATGAATTTTCAAATATTTGTAAATAAAACTGTCAGATTAGACAAGTAAAATAAACTACAGAAACGTTTACTCAGAAGTGTTTAATGCTTTTAGGTATAATTGCATTTTGAAACAAAGAGCAACATAACATAAAATCAAATAAAAAAAAAAAATCACATGAAATCAAGCCTAGGCAAAATTTCATTAACCTGCATGCGCCTGCACAGGTGGCAAAATACTAGCACAAAAGTTAAATAAAATATAAATAATAATTACCTTTGGGGCAAACTGGCCCAAGAAATTTCTTCTATAATTTATCCAAATTGGAGCTCCATCTTTAAAGAATGTAACAATGAAAATCAAGTAACCAAAAAGCAATTCATAACTTCTCCACCATTCCAGTAGTTATCACTGTTCTGTCCCACATTTGATTTTTCTTTCCCTTTCCCCTGGCTGTTTTTATCATCATGAATCAGAGATATTTTAAAGCAAAAATTAACCATAAAAAAGAACCTTGACATTTTAATGGCTTTATGTCATCAGTATCAAGAGATAACAAATTAACATGATTCGTTGTAATATTTAACATAGAAAAAGAAAGTTCAAAAAGTGCATGCAAAATTAAGCATGAAAATAGACAAATTACCATTCAAAGAAAAGTTTCGCTTGGATAAAAATTACCATGAATCATGTCAATTTCTTATCTTTTGATAATGATGGCAGGAAGCCATCAAAATGTACTCAAGTTTCCTTTATGTCGTTAATTTTTGTTTTAAAATGTATCTCTAAATCCATCCTTATTACAATCAGAGATAGAGAAACAAAAAAAAACTAAACTGGAATGAAGTCAAAGAGGCTAAGTCACGACTTTCTAGTACATTTTGTTGACAATACAAATCACACGTCCTTATCCACTATGGAATTTTTGAGAAATCACATTCAAATGACGAAAACGTTCCAAACAACAAAACTGAACTTTGAAAAACTGTTAGGTTAACAAGTTTTCAAAAACTACAATAATTATTGCAATCCATTTCAATATTCTTCAAATTTGTCCATCCACATCTTCTTTTATATTTGCTGTTTTATCTATACCTTCTTTGAATGTTTTGAGTAGTTATTTTTATGTTTCACACAGTTTGGTGACAGTTCCCACTGTTTGAAATTTTGACAAATTTCGTGACACAGTTTGTTTAACACTTAAAACATATAGATGTACAAAAAATGATAAAACAGACATGATTTAAACTAACAAGACATGGTTTGTGCATACCTGGCCAGAAAACTTGAAAGTGTTCTAAAGTCAACCTGAAAAAAAATCAAAATTCACATGCCATAAATCCTCATAAGTTAAAATTTCATGGAAAAATAAAATTTAGTTGATAATGAAATCTTAAGGTCTGTCCATTGTTATCTGTTATGTGCAATTACAAGGAACTACTCATCTGTGAGTGTCTACAAAAGGAAGCACTTAAATACCCCCAAAATAATGCATTATGTATGTCCGCCATTGCAAGGAAAAGAAGAATTTATTTCTTCTGTTAATATTAAATAATTCCATCATTGGTTCTGTGAAACACACTTTTCATATTCCGTTGAATGATGATCAATAATTCCATCTTCATATCTCTTCACAAGAGAAAGGCGATGTTGTTGGTCCATCCATTTTTCTTTTCCTGAAAGAAAGGGAAGCAAATGACTGTATTGCTTTGTCTACACTATTCACTATCTCAAGCAAAAAAATACAAAAGTACCAGTCAATAACTAGCCTGCAAGCAAGCTCTCTGGGGCACTCTGCCAGCAGGGCAGGCAGAAAAGGAAGGGTACATGCTGTAGCTTCCAATCCAGCACCCGCCCCCATTAGAGCGCTCCAGAAAGCTTGCTTGTAGGATAGTCAATAACAGTAATAAGATAATGTAAAGTGTCTTAAATCAATGAAAACCCTCAATGAAATATCAACCAGATAACAAGCCAGGAAGGTCTTGTGCACAGCTTTCACCATCAACTTCAATGCTAACAACTGTAACAATAATCACCACTGCACTGGTCAGAGAATAATAATAACTCTATGACCGGTGCACTGGTGGTCGTTATTACAGTAGAATTCCAGTTTCTTGAAGCATCAGTTTCTCAAAACTCCCTATAATATTAATCTAACCAAAACTAATCTCCATTTCCCAGTCAGTTTAATTGTACCCCAGTTTCTTGTACACTGATACATGATTTGACCACTTCCCTTTTTCCCAGGAGACTGGAAAAATCTACTCTGCAAGCAGAGGTTTTTCTTTTGCATGGCTAGCATTTACGAAGTCGTTTGCATGGTTTGTTAGTCGCATAGTTGGTATAGGATTGTTTTATACAACCCAGGAGAAATGGGGCATGAACAAACCAAGTACACGACACACGTACACCTTTCCCAGTCAGTTTAATTGTACCCCAGTTTCTTGTACAGTGATACATGATTTGACCACTTCCCTTTTTCCCAGGAGACTGGAAAAATCTACTCTGCAAGCAGAGGTTTTTCTTTTGCATGGCTAGCATTTACGAAGTCGTTTGCATGGTTTGTCAGTCGCATAGTTGGTATAGGATTGTTTTAAACAACCCAGGAGAAATGGGGCATGAGCAAACCAAGTACACGACAGACAAGCCACGCGAACAACTTCATAAATGCTAAAAGCCAAGCAAGAAAGAAACCTCAAATTTAACTTCCAGGAGATAAAAATAATGCTCGCTTTGCCTTGCAAGCCTGGTGACATTAAAAATAAAATATTTGCTAAAAGTTGAGCTGTAGGTCCTACAAGACAAAGATTTAATACCATACCATTATATTCTAGTTTAAGTCAAACCCCCAAACATAATTCATCCTCTTTTTGTTCCCACCAATGGCAGAACTCTAACATCCAGTATGTAAACCACACACAACCCACAATCCCCTAATTTGCTCTGACATGGGACTGCACTCAAAAGGTCATCTCCTCAATCAACTAAAGTAGTTAATCAACTCAGTTAATGAAAACAAAATCCTCCTGTTTTAGAGCTTGACACATTTATTATTTCTGAAAAAAATTTCAGTTAAAATCAATACAGATGAATCAAACAAGAACAACAAGCTGTGATCGAAATTTATTAGAATTGTTCATCTGCGTGGAAATGTGAGCACCTTAGTCTTTAACTGAAGACTATCACTGCACAGGTTATTTGATTGTTTCATCACTTTGGATGTCCTCATAATATTATATCAGGTAGCACACAAGTTTTCTGCATTTAGTCTGCTAATTAGCCCCAAACTTGATCACAACGGTCATAGACAGTTAAGAAATGTGAGGCCAAGGCCAAACGTTGCACTTTTCAGAAGACAAACCAAACTTAGTGAGTTAAGTTCATGAAAAGTTCTAGTTACGTCTGGCTCAGTTAAGTTCGTCTGAATGAGTTTGGATCGTGCAACACGTTCTATCTGTCTGCTTCAGATGGCTAGAACGTCTGAAGATAGTCTCCGGGCCAAATGTTGATCTTAACATGCGACAAGCTAAACTGAAAATAAATAAATTAAAAATTTGTACGATAATGTAGCCTCGAGGAGAAAATTTATGAAAATTGCTCTTTGATCTGATTCAGTTGATTGGTTCAATGTATCCTAAGTTTGACATCTGCCCCAACAGACAATCTTTTAAAACTAAATTTAGGTCGACCTAAATTAGAGTTTGGTTCATCCTGTGAAAAGTTCGATGTTTGGCCTAGGCCTTAGACATCACACTTCTTCAACTTTATTACCCTTTAAAACCAGTGCATCAAGAGGAGAAACAATAAGGTCATCCCATTTAACATGTAGTTAAATAACAGAAAAGCAAGCTAAGTCTATAACAAGGAAATTACCATATTGAATACTTTTCAGAAGTTCAGCCATTACAGGACTTAAAACTCTGTTTGATGTTAAATTTGAAACCATCCTGGTACATTTGACAGTCCTAATACCTGCAAAACAGTATCTGAGCCTTACTTCTTTAGGTACTAAATATTGTTCAATCAAGTTTAGTCATTGAAGCTTAAGGGGGTATAATAATAAAATTTAAAAAAATACATGGTTGCCACAACCAGAGGTTTTCAGAAATTCCCCGACAGGTGTAAAATCTCCCGACAGGTGTAAAATTTCCCTGACCAACTGAATTGACATTTTCACAAATCGGTTCTGGTAATGGACTTAACCATTCTCTCACAGCCATCCTCTCCATCCATTTATTTATGCTTTCAGCACGTCACATGCAGTATACATGAATTAATAGCTTCATAGCATAATGTGGCAAAAGGAGAGATTTTTCTGAAACCCAACATCAGCTTGTAGTTCAATTTTGATGAAAAATATTGCACCAAGACAACATGAAATAAAATGCACAACAATTTTAAATTTTAGAAAACAATGAATGTGGAGGGGAAAGTAGAAAATTAATATGTACCATTAAAATTTCACTTTCCCTGACTTCTTTCAATGAATTAAATTTTCCATTGATTTGAAGTGAAATTCCCTGACTTTTCCCTGACCTTGAAGAACTTTTTTCCACGCCCATTTCCTGGCCTGTGGCAACCATGCTTAAAAACCTTCAAATACAGAGCAAAGCTCATTTTCAATCTTTTCCTTCTTAGCCAATATGTCAAGAAGCTGCAATCTTTCCATTTTAAAATTCTCAAAAAAGACACTTTGTCAGCCTCTGTCATGATTTTATGCAATTCCAGGTGCGTCCATGTCCCCCGGGCTAACCCTGGGGCTCAACCATTTTTTGGCCTTGAAAGGCAAATTCCCAGGGGTGGGGACACTTGCCATATGAGCTAATCTGCAAATCTGCTTGGTTTCCTGTAAAATCCCCCATATTTAGTTATGTTTGGATAGGAATGCATGTGCATGCCAAAAGCTTGTGGGTGGCACTGGGGTTGGCAAATGCCCAATCTCCAGGTGGCAAAAAAGTTGCTAATGCTCCACCCCTGGGACTGACAAGGCAGGCAAATGCCGTGCCGCTGCCTGGTGCGGCATGAGCGCACCTGGAATTGACTGATGCATTAATATCACGCCTCAACCACAGGGCCTATAACTGGGAGACAGGGGGCTTATAAGTGACAGAGCTTACAAGTGACAGTTAACATCAGTATGGAAACAAAAGCCTCATGATCTCATTAACTTGTGACATGATCTTGCTATTATTTATTGATGTATAAGTCTTAACAGTTGATGTAGATTTTGCATTTGACTTTCAAGAAATAAGTAAAAAGTTAGCTCGCCTAGGTGACTTTTGTCTTAGCTTACATTGCTTGCACTTATCTACTTCTTCTGCAGCTGTAATGATGCAAAGCAAATTCATCGACAAGGTAAATTATGATCTAGACTGCGTGCAGTCTGCCTTTTCTGTTAAAATCCGTCTAGATCTTATCTCAGCCAGCATGATTGCAAACCACGATGTTATGTTACAATGAGGGATTGGGACGAGACGAGAAAAGACGGACTGTAAACACTTCTGTAGTAAACAAACCCTCTGTCAGCCCAGACACGCAGCAACCGATTGGTCAATTTTACAGCTGTTGACAGATCATTGACTGGTCTGTTGTGAGATTGCAAGCGATAAAAATAGTCACGCCTCACAACTAACTACAAACAATAGCGAACCAAGCTGTAATCGCTTTTAAACTAAAACTCTTAAGGAATGCGATATCTTACAGAAGGAAACTGCTGTAAATTTCCTCAAGGGAAAGGAACTCAATACTTTTTCAGTTGTTTATGTTCTATTTATAAACCGTTTCAAGTTACTCGGGTTTAATTGGTTAATTAAATTACCCTGACAGCTTCGTTCTCCCCAGAGAGTACAAAAGAGTCAGCAGCCTCTTATTTTTTCTTCTCGGGCTTACGCCCTTGTTTATCGCGGCTCGCGGCTTCGCCGCTCACCACTCGCGTGCTTTGGTTTCGCGTGCAGTAACTTTGCAAAGAAAAATAAGAGACTGCTCGCAGTCTAATTATGATCTGTACCTTCAAGATATGGATATCCTAACATCCACGAGCATGGGCTCCAACTGTGAAAACCATTTGTTCTCAAACAAAGGCTGAATAATTTCTGATGAACGTTTTGCTTAAAACTGGTCAAAGAAAGCACATTTCTCAGACTTGATAACACTCGAAATGAAGCCGCCATTTTGATATTTTGCCAGTGTTCCTCGGCCCAGTCTTTTTCCAAAATCTCTTGAAGTAATCCCTTGATTGATGGGCGATTGACCAATCAACAGTTAGTGTCATTGTTCGATTAACGTAAGTCCATCGTGCCTCTGGGGTGTGGTACGACTTTCAAGTGTGACTTGGTAAGGCGATGTAGTTTGGATAATTCCCGCTTGAAATTTGTGCAGTTTCCTTCCTCACAAGTGCGATTTGAAGTGGAAATTTCGACGCGGTAACAATCTTGGACTAATGGTGTTCTTTTTGTGTGATTTTCAGGATGAATTGAAGCCCATTTGCGGAGGAATCGATCAACAGACTGTTTGAAGTGGAGCGGCCATGTGAAATGGCCGCTCTTGTAGATTGTGTTTCGCGTCATATTAGTTCGCCCCAAACTCCTTTTTTAAAATTTATGTACACGCTTAAATCGTGTATATATTGACGAAAGAAAGTTCTTTGAGGAAAGGGTTAGCAAAGCGAGGCAGAACCCAAGAGTAAGTTGGTTGATATGGCCTTTCTCTTTCTCTTATCGCATAAAACCACCGTTCACGTTGAACTGCAAATAAAGCGGTCTTCGCGTGGTGGTTAAAATCACTTGCGTCCTTTGTCCTTCCTCTTTCACTTTATCAGAAAAGATCTCGATGGTCTCGAATAATAAGCAGTCTGAAATAAAGACTGTGTAGGAAAGGCAAATTCCAACAGCTCAAAAGACAGCATCATACCTTAGAATTTTGTACGAAGGGAGATATAACTTGATACCAAGTGACCGACAGAATTGTAGCAGTATTCATAACAGTGTTCCTAAACCGAATGGATCGGGACTAAGTCTCTAACAGTTGAGGCAAATGTTTTACTAAAGACATGTGGTTATACTTGTTTTCTTGTATATTGCTTTTGGAGTATTAGGAATCGAGTGAAACTGTGTTGTGTGAAGTCGCACGCGTTTCTAATGACTGATCGAGTTTGTGTAAATTTCGTTTGAGAAATAGATCTGTGTGCGCGTGAAGTTTTCAGTTTTTAATTGCAAAGGGAAATTTTCTTTTACCCTCATCCACGAAGATTGCCTGGAGAGTAGTAAACTTTTTCGACTATAGAGGTCGAACGAAGTCAAACATTGCTACGACGCAGAATTAGAGAAAGGAAAGGTTTATTAATATTCATGAATCCTAACAATGTGATAAACTCTGCTCAATTTTTTAAAAGCAATTTACCCTCCTGTTTAAACCACATTCATGAATCTTCTACAGTATAATCTACAATCGTGTAAACATTTCCTTTGTTATTTGCACTTATACAAGGCTGACAACTTCTGTGCTATTTTTCCTCCTTTTCATTCACTCCAAAAAAAGATGATAAGAAAGGAACAAGAGCTTCACTTTTATGCTTTACTTTTTACCTAAATGTTTTACAGAATTAAGAATTGGGTTGTTCGTCAGAAATTGGGCGGTGATCACAGCGCTGTAAATGGAATGAGAAAAAAGAGGTCATTTATTACTAAACTTGACTTGTTGACTTAACCAGGCTAATTGACAGTCCTCAGGAAAAGAAGAATTTGATCATTAGTGAAAGTAGTCTTTGAGAAAGGTTTTTTGGTCTGAAGTGGTCTCTCTTAGGACAAATGCAAATGTCGTCATTGTGCAGTATTTAGGGCCTCAGAAAATGTGCGGTTTTGCAGCAAGTTAATTAAATGTATATAGTATATATTTTTATAAGAATGGTAAAATAATCAATTCCTGTTGAAAAGAGACAATGCTCCTTGACTGTTAGCTTAATGATCATGAATGAAAGAGTTAAAATGCAAGAGAACAAGAATCATTATGGCACTTATTGACTTAATCATAACTATAAAAAAATTCTAATTCTCAAATCTGATTGGCTATCAACTGTCCTGATTTCAGCACTAACAGGACAGTGTAATAGGACAGTACACTTCATGCCTATGTAACTGGAAAGTACGCACTATTGTGCGTGCAGTTAAATGGCTTTTTTCATTGCTAGCAAGAAAACTCTTGGAATTTCTTGTGTTGTTTATTTTTGAGAGGGTTAAAACATCACAAATTTTGTTATAGTTATGATTAATTGGTAACAGAACTTTGCGTCGTCCAATTCGGTCTGTAATCATACTCGTGATTTAACAAATCGGACTCCCGCTACGCGGTCATCCCATTTTATTAAGCACTCGTATGATTACAGATGGAATTGGACTCCACTCAGTCCTGTTACCATTATTTAAATCAACGATTTATGTGGAAAGAACAAGCTGTAGAGAAAGCTACAGGCTTCTTGTATGGGATTAAGAAAAAAGCATGTTGCATTATGTGTAGATAAAATAGTGTGGAACCTGTGTTACTGGCTACGTGTTACCGTATTTCTTCAATTCCTCATGAAGTTTTGACAGTTAAAAAAAAAGAAGGCAAAATCAAGACTTATTGGAAGATAGTTGTGAACGGGCAAATGCCCAAGGCTGACATAAATCTACTATTATTCTATTGCAAATCAATATAAAAGTACTTTCTGGTGATTTTAATGAGGCATTTCTTGGTGAAATACAAATAATTTTCTCTACTATCCCCAGCTGATCAAGTATATGTCAGGTGACATGAATTGGCTTATGGGATGTGCATGCTGTAGAATGCCAGTAGAATTTTACTTCTGTTAATTACAGCTCTAGAGTTTTTGCATACCAGCATAGGTTCTGCCTAACGAGCACTTTCTATTTGCCCTCTGGGCACTAGGCTATTTGCCCTTTGTTAGAGACATTAATTTTATTATTTTTAGTACCATGCAAATGCCATCAAATTAAAAAAGAACACACTGATTATGGTTTCCGTCCATTATAGACATTCAAAGTTCTCAAAATACATCAAATGGCACCAACTAAGTGGATAAAGTGCCACATAGTGTTGGATTAGTTTATCTTTTTGGCAGTTTGCCAAAGTTGTAGTTGTCTTTTATTAATACAGTGTAAATCATTTGCTAAAATGATCAAGACTTCATATTGTTGGAAAGAATGAAGACCAGTATATATTACACAGAGTTTGTTTATTGCGTGGTTATTTTTCCTATTATACTTCTAACACTATTCCTTTCTTGCTTCACAACATGAACTGCAAAAAAGTCTTATAAATGTTTGCATTTCTAATAATTGTTTTTTGCTTTGGTAGAGCTTATAATTTTTTTGAGTATGCCTAATTCGCATCCTAGTTCCTTTGAAGTAATAGGATAACCACCGGTGGGATATAATTATTGAAAGGGGTAAAATTTGACCCCATAGATAGTTTTCGCTAATTTCTGAACATTGCTTAATATATTGTAGACATGTGTTAATGCATTCATGGACTTTGAAAGAGCATAATGTTCTTAAGTTTTACCTTGATTAAGGTTCCAACAAAATAAAACCTTCAGTTCAGTTTTTTAGAGATTAAAATAATTGAGGTTTGGTTGAGAAAGTTTGTCCAACCCTTCCGAAGTATAACATAGCCATTGTATCTTCTGTTGTTTGCAATTTTTGTATCATAAGAAAGGAATGGTTGCTATTTTGGTGTTTGAAACATGGTTGCAGTAACTTAAGGTAGGGGTCACAAGTCAACAAGCCATGCCTTGAACTTTTGCTTCTTTTTTCCACAAGGTTGAAAGCAGGCTTGTCTGTACGCAATGCTTGATACCTCTTTTTTTTATTTTTCTAGGAAAGTTCATGACAGATGCCAAAAAGCAAAGGTTTTGACTTTTGATATTAAAAAATAATCTTCAGGAGAAAAACATGGTAAGCAGTGAACTCCATCTCTACCGAAACAGCTGAAATACAGCCTTCAATGTTGTCCTCTGAAGAAGCATTTCGGTTTGCTGTTCCTTTTTCTGTCAATTTTCTTTCCAATTGATGTCATTGGTGAAAATATCACACGTCTTTCAAATTGAGGACAATGGTAGCTGGTTATTTCAGCCAATCAGAAAAGAGAGAAATATTTTGGGATGAATATTAAGGGAATTAGTCATAAATAAAGTAAGATTTCTCTTAGTTGAAGAATTCCTTCCCTTCTTTCTTACGGACACCTCGTCAATACCTTGTTTATCGTCTCCAGTATTCCCTAAATGGGGTTTTACAATTTAGGTTAATGGATTAATCATTGTTACTATTTTTATTATTATTATCATTAAATTAATTGTTTTATTAAGTAGCAACTTACCAAATGCCCTTAAGCTACAGTACGAGAAAGCCTAATTTGTCATTCTAGATCATTCCTTTTTGAAATCTTTTTATTTTTTCTACTACAGGAAGTTAGGATATTGTGAGTTATGCTGTCTGCACATTTTCTTTGGTGTGATTGTTAATTACTTTTACTTAACAGCATTTTAGGATAATTTTACACAACAAAATATATAAATTTTTCATTTGATATGTTTTAGAGCACATCTGGTGGTGAACCTCGCACCCTGTTGAATGCACTTAGACCAATGCTGGGCTCTTTTGGAGACATCAAAACGCCACAAGAAGTTGTACGAGTAATCAGGTAATTATTACGTTCTGTAGGCACTCAACTTTTTGCCTCTAACTCCTTTCATTCTTCCTTTACAACTTGTGATAGTATTTAATTGGCCGTTTTTGAATTAGAGATTGTAAATAAATTAAAGAATTGTAAATTCAAATCAATTGCATCAGAGCCTTTTTGGCTTAATTAGCTTTCTGCTAGACATTAATAATAATTATTACTTTCAAGTATTTTCTTGATTTAATGCTGGGGTGTCTAAAAAAAAAGCATGGATCTAAAAGGTGAAGTTTTAATATACGCCATATGATTTTTTTTCAGTAAGATCTAGGTACATTTAATGGAAACGTATATGTCTGCCAAAGTTTTAGAACAATATGTTGAGGCCCCAAATAAGTAATATTATATTAAATAACACACAGTATATTTTCATTTGCAGTTTAATGCGAGATGCTGAGAAGCTGATGAGTCGGTGTATTTACTTGAATATTCTTAAAGCTACTATTTCAGTTGCCAAAGAAAATGAAACTTCAAGTGAAACACTAGAAAAGTAAGTGGGCATGTACATGTCATGGCATCTATACGCTTCAGACCAATGGAGCCTTAGAGTTTTTACTTAATGTGTTTTTGGAACTGGCCACACCTAATATAATATGTGGGTAGATTTAAGTTAGACAATTTCAAGTTAAGCTTAAGCCAATGCTGTGAGCAGTTTTATCCATTTGCATAGCCTATGAGACACATTTTTAGTAGGTTGCGTTAAAAATTGCATCATTAGAGTAGAATCTTTGTTCAAACTCACTTACCATTTATAGCACACTGGTTCGAGGTTGAGCGAGCATGGTGGTTTCTGGTGTAGCTTTTCATTCTTGTTTATCAGCTATAGATCTTCATCGAGACTGATCAGCCTGGTATGGTACTGAATTTTATAAGATAAGAAAGGAGATGAGTTTGGTATTTTTTCATTTGACAGGTTTATGACTATAGGTGGGTGGAGTATTTTGAACAAATGGCTCGTTGAGGCAAAAAAAAATGAAAATTTTCCTGTTTTGGTAGAACTCCTGGAGGTACAGTTGCAATACAGTGTTACATGTTGTTTTGCTATTTTAAAAAAAATGAAAACTAGCTTAGTTAGCTGTGACATAACTTGTGGTTTCTGTTTAACTTGATTTAGGTCCTCAGAGATCTACCTGTAAATATAGACACATTAAAACAAGTGAGTTTGATTTTTCTCTAAATATCTATTAATGATTTATCATTATCGTCATCAGTCAACTGAAGAGGAGTCGACTGAAAGTCTTCTCCAACTGGCTTGGTCTGGGCAGTGCACACGATGTCATCCTCTGAGAGATGCTTATTGCGGTTTTCTCCCATGGGGGGGTGGGAGGGGCCTTCAGTCAGGGATTATAGTCAAACTCAGTCAATACAGACACTTTTTTTTATTATACTACTACATGAGAAATTTCTGCAATTTGATTGGCTTAGAGCAGTGGTATTTCAGCTTAATTTGAAATACCTACATGTGAAAATTACAACCTTTTGTGAGTTGTAGTATAAACAAATAATAGCAAGATTTGTACGTAATATTTGGCATGAATACTACTAGTGATATTTCAAAATTGTCTCAAATTTCACTCACCTAACGGCTGAGTCGTGAAATTACGTATAACAATTTCAAAACATCACTTGTGGTATTTAAGCCAAATATCGCCACAAATCATGCTATTACCTACACTAATAACATTTATTTGATTACAACACTTCTTATAACAATACTTACATTTAAAACATGGAGAGAAAATAAAAATAACTTACATTAACATGACAAGAGAAAAAATACGATGTTACGGCATTTACAACTATTTAAACCTAAAAATGTTTTACAAATTCGACTACTAATTGCAAAATAAAACACGAAACAACAAAAATATAAAGAGTCTGTCTTTATCCTAACTAAAAGGTGCTTTGCATTTGCATTTGTCCCGGGGGGGGCACTCCCATATGAAACAGACGGGGATGCTCGTCGGAAATTTTGAATTTAACCCCTAAAGGAGACCATCTGGGTGTGGCTCAAGCTTTTTGTGACCCCTAAAGGAGACCAATCTGGGCGTGGCTCAAGCAAATTTTGACCCCTAAAAGAGACCGCTTAAAAACACACAAATACGACATGCAATGAGTTCTAATGATATAAAGACATGACAAACAAAGTTAAAAAGTTAAAATTGACTTCTGTTTCTCTTGGCGTAATTCTGTGTTTCTTCGCGGAACCCTACCAAAATTTGTCCCGTTCTTCATTTGCATTTGTTTCTGCATCACTTTTAACTTTTGGATTATTTGATATCAGCAAATTTATTTGTCTGAGGGGCAAAGTTTAAGAGGGCTCCTTTTGTTTTTAAAAGAAGATTTATTGTTATTATCAGAGGCAATATCTTTTTCAATTTCCATGGAGTTCATAATGGTTTTTATATAAACCTGTAGCATAGGGTGGCTGTTATTTAACATTTGAATGTATAGTTTGGCGATAATGAAAAGGTGATACGATGTAGTAATAAATCGGAAATACATTATCAATTAGTCCAAGACAGATAAGATGGGAGAAGGCATGGGTTTGTTTAAGGTGGTGTTTTGAGTTATCCATTGATAAATGTCTTTCAGAAATATTTTGAGTGTACCTGCAATACCAGAACAAGTGGGCAAGGGTTTCAGTAGATTCCCTGTGGATTAGGGTAGTGTCCGTACTAATGGGGTGTCCATATTAAGAGGGTTGAATTTAGATATTTTTAGGGACTTTCTTTCCCCAGAGACAAAGCCAGCTGTCAGTAATAAGGAGGTGTCTATGTAGTGGGTGTCCCTAAGGTGGGGTTAGACTGTAAATTAAATTTATTTCTTTCGACGTTTTATTCCCCTCAGCTTCAGAGCCAAGTTTTAATTTTGATAATTCCAAAATGGCCTGTTGGTATATTTACTGTCCGAGGGTGTTTAGTTTTGATTACTTTGAATATTGTCTTAATTTAAAGTGCTTCATCTTTTGATAAACTTTGTAGGGAAATACTGGCAAAATCATAAAGCATCTCACAAAGTTGGAAAATCAAGGTAACATGTCGTGAGTTACGCACTAATTACACAATCGTCACATTATCTGTAAGTGATTTCAGAACTCACCTAACACTCACAGAATTGACTGAAAATTCACAGTAACTGCTTTAATCAGCAATAAAAGTGCTAAAGCAGTGTTCTCCCTAGGATTTTGGGAAGACCAGGGGTAAAAGTGACTGTGATTTTCAATGGTGTTTGTACAAAGCCTACTGTAGCCTGAATAAAGATTTATAATAGAGACTTGGGAACTTACTTTAAGGTGTAAAAGTTTTTCATTGTTGTTAAAAAACTTGGGTTGACTGAACACAATTTGCATGTTTGACAAGTTTTCATTGTTGTTTTGAAATGGAACTTTCCCAAGCCAGTAGAGTTGAAAAGAATACCCACGCACAAAAAGTGCAAATGCAAAAAATTTTGTTCACAAACGAGGCTTGTTGGTGAAATTTACTCGTCTGACGTAATCATGCATAGGGGCTATTTCTTTAGTACTCCATGTGAAGGTCCCTTATGTTTTACAAGAAGGCTCCTGTTCAACGAAATGAATGGATCATAGGTTTGAACATATTCATCCAACAATATCAGGGTGTTCATTAGACATCAGAGATTAGACAATTCTCTGTTTACTATGCAGAATTCTATGGCTAACTTTAGGTAGCCTATCTATGACTATTTCTTACTCAGATGCTGAGCACCTTTCAAACATTAAATTACCTTATTACGTTATTACATCTTTCTCCTGCTGCTAGTATCCTTAGTGAAAACCCTGCGATAAATCACTTTTATCAAATTTCATCAACTTTCTTTAGTGATTTTGTCTTTGAAATACCTTACTCTAGATGTCAACGTAAGCGTCCGTTTGGTTAAAAATCTTTGGTTTTAAAGCCAGGCAGCAACAATTTTCCAGTGAATTAAGCCAGGTGGTCCACCTAGCCTTAAATACTTAGGGAGAACACTGTCAAGAGAAATACCTAAGAGCTACACCCATAAGAATGAACATGGATGAATAAAAATGAAGAAGATTAAAACTTATTAGATCTGTTAAACAATGGCATGTTTCTTTTTAACTTTGTCTCAATTTCTATGATAATGTGACCTACATGTACAGAAGAGAGCTTGGGAATCATCTACATTTATTTGTGTGATGGTGACTTTGTCATCAAAACGTTTTTTTTGAGCAATATTCCTAACAGTTAAAATTGCCCTTGATCGCCAAATTTTTGAAATAAAAATTGCCTACACTCTCGCCCATGAAAATGTCCAGGATGCATTGACCATTTTATATTATTTAAAAGAGTAAATAACTTTTTTTTCCAGATGTCAAAAAGCTAGCTTCAGTTATTGTCAAGCAGTGGATGAGTCTTGTAAGAAACCAATCAGGTAATGCAGGAAGCTATAAGAAGTATTTGAATCCTCCATAAAAAAAATAAACAGTGTTGAATAGGGGGACTTAAAAATAGAGAGTATTTAAGGTAGATGTTGTGGTTCAATTTTATTATTGTTTTGAATACCTGTATTATTTTCCTTAGTCTGAGTTATGGTAATGTATGATAATGAGTTTTAAACAAAGGAAAATATAATTAAAACCAATCGGTTGAAATGTTATAAAATTGAACCACAACATAATTATACACCACCATACCCGGGCCACCTTACACTGAAAGGAAACCCTAATTGCTGAAGTGCTCGACCATGCTTTTGATTTAATGTACTTCCTGTTCCTTGATTGAAGAAAAAGTGGACAAACCAAAGCAAAATGGCTCAACCGAAAGTGAAGATAGTTTGCAAGGAAATAGACAAGGTGAGACAAAACTGAGATGATCAAAATTATCATAAATTTATTAACTTATGTAAATACTTAAGGTGTGTGTTCTCTAGAAGGAGAAAAATGAAATAGGCAGTAGATTACACCAAAAGAAGCACCCGTCCTACTTTAGTAGTTAGGGAAGAGGAGTCACCCATTCCTTTGGGACGTTTGGGGGCTTCTGTGGGGAATTAAAAATTTTTATTTTGATGGCCCTGAAATGTGCATTTCCTTGCATCTTTGAGTAGGAGATAAAAATGATGATGTGGAAGGGTGTTGAGAAACAAATACAACCAAGAATTATAATTACGCGTGAAAAAATATTTTTTTATGAGTAACTGGCACTTCTGGGACGACTGCACAGTCACTGCAGCTTCCCAAGAACCCTGCTATAGGCTTTGACCACCTGTGCATTTACACTGTTACATTCTTTCGGCCTGAAAAATTCAAACCAGTTTGAAAAATTTCAACCGGTTTTAAAAAAATTCGAACCAAAGAAAAATTTGAACCACAAAATAATTATTACATTATATTTGTGTCAAGACATCTACTCTGCATTCATGTATTAAATAGTGTGAAAGAAGAATTTTTTTTATTTATGTCTTCTTGTCTTTTTCTCCCTTCATTAAGGTGAAGGAAAACCTGTTAAAAGATTAAGGTAACATTTGTAATACTTGATAGTGCCTTTTGGTAAGATATCTGTCAAAAGATCCAAAATCTGCTTACTAGTAGCCTGTGAGTGCAGCCGTCTCTCCTTGCTCTTTTCCACTAGGGACGTTTTGCCTTGTGCCACAATGACAGAAGATGTTAAAATGATGAAGTAAATCAATGTTTACATAATTGATCTGGGTTCCAAATGTGATTTAAATTTGTTTGAAATTCTTCTCTTGGTTTGTTTTTGTTCTTCTGCAAACAAATATTGCAGCTTAACTCAAATGCTTTTTCTAAATAATATTATTTTATATTTTATGAATAATTTATAATGACTGTTTTGTAGTAGATTTAATATTGTGTTACATTTATCCTTTGTGACCCTTTTGTCTTTTGTCTGTAATTTGTAAACAATTGGCTTAACGAATATAATTACTAGGTTGACTATTCAGATCTCCTGACCAGATTCTGGACAGAGTTTACATCATCAGTATGGAATTTCTGTCTTTGAGGTGCAGACATCTCTCCCGCAAAACATAGCTAGCTTACTGTAGTGTTTATTTTTTGCCTATTTTTGGATATACCTCTCAAACTAAGAGCTACAGTAATATTTTAGACAGCTTCATTTGATTTATGATCTTTTCTTTAACCACAGGGATAACAGTTCCTCAGATTCTAACCGATCACCTCAGCCTGAGAAGAAATTAAAAACATTAAGTGAGGTTAAAAGTGATGTCAAACAAAGCTTGGCACAGAAAAATATTTCCAAGACAAAAGTCATCCCACCTCAGCCTAAACGTAAGTGGCTATAAACAATTAACAATTTAGTATAAACAACAACAACATACAACAGCTATTACTTGTTGACCAAGTGCAAGTATAACAACTGGCTGTTGGTAATACGTGATTGAGAAATTCAGTTCAAGCTCTTTGCTGGCATTACATACTCTGTTTAATAACAGGTAGCCATTGCACTGTACTACACCTGAAGGCGGATCATGAGGCTGTCCCGCCCTCACCCAGCGCAGGGTCTAGAAAGGTTGGCCACACCACCCGGGTCTACGCCCCCTATTCTTTTCGAACAGTGGTGTGGGTTCTTTGACATCCACAAAAACTATTATAATTGTTTTAAAGTGTTATGGTGATTGGATTGTGATTGATGGGTCATTTCAACTGAAGATGATAGTTGAACAATCAAAACATGACTAATTGCATAAGACTTTTTTCTAGTTAGAGGAGCACCTTCCAATCAAAATTGCTTATTTACTTTTTCTGATCAATTCCATTCTGTTGAGGTTCCCTCATTTTCAATAATGCTAATCAAATTGAAAGTTCTATGATTACTTTTCTTCTTTCACAAGCGGTTGCAATGGAAAGTGCAGGGTTTATGAATGCACTGACATCTGCAGCTTCTGCTGCTCCAGTGGTCAGGAAAAGGAAGCGCGTTACTGCTGCAAAGGTATTTGTTTACGTTGTTGGGATCACTTTTACTTTATGATGGGGTCTTAGAAAACATTTTGTTTATTTATTTATTTATTTATTTTATTATTATTATTATTATTATTATTATTATTTGCAGACTGGAACAACTACAACTACAACAGCAACATCTTCAGTGTCAAATACCAAGGTAGGTGGAAGATCTTATGTTACTGCATAATTATGCTTACTTTTCAGTGGTGTTGCTATTGCATTCACTCATGGCAAATGTGTTGCTTCAGAAATTATCCACATTCCCTCCACAAACAGTTTTTGGTTTGAACCTTTCAATCCTCCAAAAAATTCTTGGTTGACTTCATACTTAAAAATATTTTGTACCTCCTCTTTGCTCAATCGTACATCATTTTGCAGATGTAAATAATTATGTTTTTATTAAATAAAGCTGCCTATATCCATGTCAGGTGCAAGCTTTTTCTGTTAACCTTGCAAAATCATGTTAAGACAGTATTTAGCTTTTTTAAATGAACTTTTGAAGGAGTTATTGAACCATGGAAAGCAGCCTGCCAAAAGATTCTATCATAAAATTTGATTTTACTAGTTGGAGCCTTTGAGTAATGGATTTTTCACATATGCTTTATGTTGTAGCCAACATACACAGGTATTCTAGATGCAATACTGGACAGTCAGTCACAAACACATGGCCAAGAGGATGGACGAGATAAGGAAAGCAAAGACAAAGATACTGACAACTCAAATACAAGGTAAACCAGCCTTGACTCTCAGAACAATAATTGGGTAGACAGCTTCTAGAATCTATTCAATCACATGGCATTGCTGTCTTAAGGGAAGTGGTATCTGTTCTGTCAGACACAGGTACAAGCTTGTTTGTTCATTTTCACTGGAGGTGATCAGAAATGTCGGTCTAGCAATGTTATTGTTAAGTACCTATGGATTTTTGTTTTTTCTTTCGAATAATGACAGTCTGGGAAAATCCCTGCAATTTGACCTCTGCCATTAACATATTATAAATTTAGTGAATATTGAAGGAAAGTCATCCCATATGTTCTCAAGAAGTTTCGCTTGATAATTGTGGTAGTGGGACACTACATAATGTTTTTTACTTTGTTGCAACATGAACAAACATTTGTCCACATACTTTATTAAGAAGGATAATGTTAACTTATAAATGCTCTTTATTCTGAATTATCTGTGGTTCAAATTTGTCCCATTTGTTTTTTCCTCTGCTCTTGATTCATTTTATTTCCATGCAGAAAATAAGCAAAATAAAAAAAAGAATTGTTCCAAGGATAGACCCTTAAGTTAATAAGTTAATTGCTTCCCTTTTTTACAGCAACAACAAATCAGGTTCAACTCCAAATGGATCACCAGAAAACACACCATCAGTACCAAGTAAGTCTGCAATATAATGCTGTAATACTGTAAACTGCCACTTACATGCTCCCCCACTTGTAAACCCGCCCCCCCAGTTATAGGTTAATCTACCAGTTAACAAAATAATGCATCTGATTATAACCCTAATCCCTCCTCCCCCAGATATAATCCCCCCTCCAAATATATTGGAGTGAATTCAATAATTATTATGAAGTTTTGAAGCTTAATTAAAACCAATAAATGTGAAACGTATTTTGCCCATCACTGATATAGCTTGTTTATTGAAGCCCCTCCATAAATTTATGAGCCTTCTTAGCTAAAACCATTTTCGAATCATCAGTTTAATAAATAAGCCCAGGTCTTATAAGAGGCAGTTTACAATATTAAGTTAAATTAATTAACTGCCTGCAAGAAAAGTTTTTATCCAAGTCAATAATTTGAAAGTTTTTTTTGGTATTATGTTTACTTGTACTTGATTTGGAGGTCCAGAATAAGGATTTGTGGTCTACTTTGCAGAAGTCATGTCTGTAGTGCAGGCTAGAGATTAGATGAGAAGAAAGAAAATTATTGATTAACTGAAATTGGAAACGGTTTATTCATATGTGCAATAAACAATCTATGATCACATTTCATCTTATTATTAAGTAAAACCTACATATAGTGTTACAGGAAACTTGTTATAGGTCACATGGTCTACTCAAGAAATTTCATAAAGATTAGTGCTTATCAAAGAGTATACGTTGGCTCTTCATTAATTTTTTTGAACAAGTTCATGTGTGTTCATTCTTACATTTTCTTGCATAAATTTCTTGTCTAGGTGGGGATATTGGAGACTTTAGCAAAGGATCTGAGGTATGAATGCAGCTAAAATGGCCATGCAACTTGTATTACAAAGTCAATCATCTTGCAAATATGTTTCAGGAAAAAAAGGCCAGTGACGCCATCAGAATTATATTTAATAATAAAAGGATAAAGGAGATACTAACACAAAGACACCAAAATGTAACAGTCATCCTGATTTAATGACAAAAAATGCTTTTTCAGAAAATAAGAAAAAGTTCCATATTTCAGCTGTACATGTGCTTTGGTATAGGGGTTTTGATCTGTTGTTCTTGAAGCTTTTTTTGTCCTTTTTTGTTCTCTGCAGTCATCTGAGAAAGACAATTCTCCTAACTCAGGTATGTTCATAAGTCTAACCACTAGAGAATTTTTTTTATTTGCCTCTTTATTATAGAGTTAAATCATGATTGTTTAGAGACACTAAGTTTTTTGGCTTATAAATTCTCTTGCTTCCAGAAAAGTTTGTTCAGTTTTAGTCTTTAAGTTACCATCATTTTGGTTACTTGTAAGCTTCTTCGTAAATGAGTTATAAACTCTCAGTAAAAAGGGGAAAACAAAAGGCTGTTATGATGTTTACATCCCTCCATAAACTACGGTAGTTCTAGTGTACTACTGCAGGACTTATTCAATGAACAAAGTTTATATTATGAGCTACAAAACTTGAGCGGTTAGCTAACACTGCCCAAGCCACGTACCAATTATCTAAAGGGTAGCTAATTTTAGCTATAGTGGGGCTCAATCATCAAATTTCAGGGGCACCCAACGACAATTTTCGGAAAAATATCTGTTCGGAAGACGATTTGAGATCTAGAATTTTCGGAACATTTGTTGTAAAATTTCTTGCTTGCCTGCCTCTCCTAGGATTTTCGGACATCTAGAAAATGGTATAATTGCCTATTTTTAACGGATTTTTAACCTAAAAAGATCACCTAGAATTTTCGGGAGCCTTTTTTCTGGCTAAAATTTTCGAAAAGGTAAGTTTTGATCACTATAATTTTCGGATCACTTGACTTTCAGCTAGGAAATCCGAACAGATGAAAAACTTTTAGGGGATAAAAATATGCCTATATCTACCGTTTAAATACTAAAATAGTTTAACAATTCTATGTTTAAGTGGTTTTGAACTATATTCTCGTTGGGTGCCCCTGAAATTTCCTACCTCAATATGTTAGAAACATAAAGTCAGTACTAGGGCAATTCAAAAGGGAAATTAATCAAGTATTTCAATCATCAGTTTCCCACTCAGCAATCTTGTAAAACGGTAAATGAAGTGTAAACAGTAATTCTTTTTATTAAAATATCTGTTTCTAACTTTACCCTGTTGAAATTAAGTTGTATGTATGTATATGTATGTATATACATGTATGACCATGTGAGTATTGATGTGTGGAGAGGAAGGCCATGAGTTTGAATCCTGTCCAGATTGAGAACCAGTTGTAGGGAAACTGGATGTTTAAAAAGCTCAGTTTTTTAGAGTAGTATGCGGTTAGTTTCCCTTTGGTGTTCAGCCATTTTCTCTGCTCAAATGCACTGTGAGGGTTGTCTTAACTTCGCTCGGGACTCTTGTCTTGTTGGCACAGCCTTCAGCTAGCCCATATTTGATTTCAAAAATAAAACAACATCAATACAATAAGGTGTGAGTTTCATCAAAAATTGAGGGTGAGCCTTACAACCATGATAGCAAAATTTAAATTCTCATTTGTTGTCACTAAAATTTCCTTTTGAAGTAGTAGATACAAGTTGTTAAAGTTTGTCAATTAAATTCATCTTGTGATCAATTTGTTAATTCTTGTTACAACTCTGTTTTATGATGATAAATATTACAAGGAGAAAATTGATGCTGATCACTTTTAAAGCTTTAAGTCTTGACACAATACTAATATCTCCCCCACCCCGCCCGCCCGCCTGTCCCCCCCTCCCCCACCCAAAAAAAAACAAAGGCATCATGGTGATTGTCAATGATCATAGATATTACAAGGACAAAATTGATGCTGATCACTCTTAGGGCTTCAAGTGTTGACACAATACTATCTCTCCCCGCCCCCCACCTCTAAAAAAAAATGACATCATGGTGATTGTGATCGACATATTGCAGCATCACAGACCTCATCAGACACAACAGCATCAGCAGTTGATGATGCCGCAGCTGAAGAGAAACCAGCTAAGAAGTCAAAGAAGGGCAAAAGAGTTCAATGGCCTACTGATGATTCAAACCTGGCTATATTCCACTTCTTTGAGATGGATGAAGATGAAAGAGGTCGGTTTGCCATGCCTCCCCTAAATGTATTTTGTTTCTGAAAAAACAGATGTTTTTGTTATGAACAGTTTATTCCTTTCCTGCGGTGTCCAGTTGTTTGACTGCCAATTTGTTTATAGAAAGTCATGATCATTAAACTGCAAGAAACATTGTCAACCATAAAATTGTAATAATTTCTTAATATACTGAAAAAGTAGGCCTTATAAGTATGTGTATCTTGTTTATGTGTGGAGTACCTTGAGCAGAACATGTTGGAAATCAAATAAGAAAAATGTGTAGTGTAGTGGAATAATCAGTACCCTTACAGGGAAACTACCAAGAGAAGCAAAATCCTAAAGTATTGCTTATCAAACTTGCATTTCCCATGGGGAACAGTTTAAAACCATCTGTGTATATATCTAGGAGAGAAAAACTCATAACCTGCTTCCAAGTTTCAGATTCTACAACTACTACACTACAACTTGAATTAATTAGTTGAATTTCTTTGCCCCAGATCTTTGGAGATCTGTTTACTGCATGTAGTATCACTAACATTATTAAGGTGTTTATTTTTTTAGCTCTGGTGAGACACCCTGTTAATTTTCTTGATGCTGCCCATAATGAGATGGTTAGGGAAAGGCAGGTATGTACCTTAAACAAGGATTTCTGTCACCCTTTGAAGACAACAACTGACAGAATATCCCTCCTACTTATCAGTCAAAGTACACACTATTGTATGCTTTGATTTTACCAGAGAAACCTTTCTGATTCATCCTGTTTGCACCACTAATTTTCTCTTATTTCCTGGGGCATAAATTCAATGATTACTTACTTAAGTTATGGATAGTTTTCAGTTTCTTAATCTTTGACGTTTGACTAACCAGGTCTTATCTTGCCCTTTTTCAGCTTGTGGAGCAGGCTAAACGGTTAAGTGAAGATATAATGGCAGAGAGAATAAAGGTAAATAGCATACTATGGAAATGTTATAGCGGGCGGTAGGATTTTGTTGAGGCCTTGCACCCATTTTTAGCCTGCTAGAAAGTTCTCCTATTTGGGTGAGGGAAGCAAGCTGCTTGAGAACCCACTGGCGAGTAGGGCTGTTTTCGTGTCTCCTCTTGTGTGCCTCTCGTGTGTCCAATTTTCACGATAACCCCCAAATGGAGAGCTTGCTTGCAGGCTAGCCCATTTTAGGAGTAATGGGCACTGCACTGTTACGTGAGACAAGTGATCAGATTGCAAGAAGATGTCAGTCAACACACGGCCAGCAAAATAGCTTTGCGGTTCTGGGGCTAATATTATTAAGTTATTCCTTAGGAATATTGACAATAATTGCCCACACACATACACACACGCGCACACTCCTCAGTAAACAACAAGCCAATGAATCCGTTTGGGCATCTTAAATGAAGAAACCAAGGCCCTGAGGACTCGAGAGAAGCCTTCAAGCACGAAAAGAGGCCCAAACAGAATTCACAGGAAAGCAGGAAGAGGTGCGAGGAAAGGACAGGAGGTGTGGGAAGAAAAGTAGGGCCATATTACTTGTCCCACTCAGGGTTGTCACTAAGATTTCAAGTTGCCGGGTAAATACAACAAGTGGACGGGGAATCAAACAGCTAGGAATTTCTTTCGGTTCTATTTTTCTTTTATTTTCCTTTGAAAGTAGCCGGGGAAGACGTTCATAGTAGCCGGGGGAAATCCCCAGCCCCCGCCTCTTAATGACAGCCCCGGCCACTGCCTTTCACTAGGAGCACTTTCTATTCTTTAACAATGGCTATTTAAGTGCTGTCTCATGTTCTAACAAAGGGGTTTTGTAATGGTCTTACTTCAGTGGTACAGACCTGCGCCCTTAACAGTTGATCATCAGACAGAACGAGGAACCAAAAGTGAACAAAAACACATACAGGTTGGTCATACATTTTAAGTTGAACCCTGCACTAACAGCCATCACCCTATCAATGATAACAGCTGGAATTTTTGTCCAAACAAACGTTCCATACAATCACTCTTCCATTAACCTCTTTAAATGGCCACCCACAGAAAAGCATGAAATAATCTCTCCAGAATGGCCATTTAAAAGTGAATTATGTAGACTGATGTCGTCACATAACTTGATTTGTTTAAGATTCTTGTTCTGATCGTTTTACAGTATTTTTTGGATTTTGCTGTTTCATTTTGTTATTTGAAATTGTAATACAGTACACTATTGAGAACATTTTCTACATCCCCTCTCCAAAAGTGGTTTTACATTACACTCCCTCCCCCCAATAGGCACCTATCTACAACAGCTCTTTACCTCCGTCCCCAAGGTTGCCAAAAATGTAGAGAGGTTTGACTGTATTTTCTTAAGCCTGTGTGTAATGTAAATTGTACAAGCCCCACTTGTTTTATAACGGAGCTTCATTTTGTAGAAAATTACGCAATAGGACCCCCCGCCCCCTTCCTCCACCATCACCACTCCCCTCTTAAAATAACTGAAGATCCGGACTTGCTTTCAATACTGGTTTTCACTAGCGACGGAGTCGGAGTCGTTGTCGTAATCAGAAGCGTAGGACTTAACGATCTAGTGAAAACAGTGTTCTGACTCCACTTACGATCAAGTGAAACCAGGTTGTAAGTAGAAGCAGAAGAACTAAACCAATCATAAAGAGTGGGAACTTGCATTGCACAATGATTGTTTTCTCATTCCGCTTATGATTCCGACTCCAACAATCTGGTTTTCACTAGATCGTAAGCGACGGAATCGTAAGCGGAGTCGGAAGAAAATGGAAACGTTCTGATTCTTCTGACTCCGATTACGTCGCGCTTATGACTCCGCTTACGACTCCGATTTTTGATTTTTACAACGTCATAAGCGTTCTAACGATTCCGACTCCGACTCCATCACTAGTGAAAACCAGCCTTTACGTGTTTAGAAACTCTAGTGGGTTGTTAAAATTTTGTTTCTTAACTAGACAGAACCTCGTTCTTGTAACAGTTTTACACTACAAATAACTAGTGGTATTTATGGTTAAAAAGGTAACACCTGCCTTGATTATTTGCTGATGTAATACTATCTGTTTGTAATTTTCTGCCGACAGAAAACTCGAGAAGCAAGTATCCTTGCTGATATATTTTTAACCAAGTCAAGGTATGCTCAAGTTTGTGAACTTAGGTATTTTAGGTATTTTTTTAGGTATTTTTATTTATTTGCCACACAATTACGTTACTTAAAGATGCCAAAAGAAAAAAAAAAAAAATGTAGGAAGAGATGGCGAGGAGGCCTAAAAGAAACTATAGAGCTTATGTTAATTAGGCCTCCTCAATTACAATTTTTCGAAGATGGCATAAAAATTACGACGACGGGTACAGTATAATATCAGGTGAAAAATTAAACTAATCAATATTACGGAAGTTTACATGTACAAATGTTGAATATTAAAAGGCTTTTTCCCAAGATTTTTGTTGAAGTATACTAATAATTATTACAAATAAATGCCTTAAGTGCTCTTTTAAAGGAGAAAGGTGAGGAAGCGTTGATGATGTTGGTGTTTAAGGTGTTGTAAAATTTAGGTCCTTGATAAAAAACGGAAAATTGCTTGGTTCGAGTACGACAGAAAGGCAGACGAAATTTACACGAGTTTCTTGTATTATACGAATGAATTTGACTTTGTAAGGTAAATTTACAATGAAATTTTAAAGGTAGAGTATGGTTTTGATAGGAGTACATGAATAAGCCTAGTTGTATTAAGTATATATCATGAAATTTTAAGATACCAAGATTTTGAAAGATTGGAATCGAAAGTGGTTTTAGCTATAGTTCTGATCACTCGTTTCTGTAAAATCTCAAGACGAATAAGGTTAGTTCTGTAAGTAGAGGCCCAAACTAAGTTGCAGTAAAAAAGGTATGGATAGACTAGAGAAAAATATAGTGTTCGTAAGGTTTTCGTGGATAAATAGAAACTGGATTTACGAATAATTCCTGTGCATTTAGAAACTTTATTGGCGACATGTGAGATTTCAGATTTCCAATTTAAATTTTCGTCCATGATTACTCCCAGGAAAACTGTTTCTTTTACTTGATCAATTTTTGACTATTAATTAAAAGTTGAATAGTTTGATTTGTACGCTTTTGGGATGGTTTAAATGCAATGAATTTGGTTTTTTCAAGTTTAATGAAAGCCTGTTAGCTCTAAACCATATTGACAACTTATTTAGTTCAGCGTTCAGTATATTAGTAAGGCAGTCTTTATCCTTGTGAGACACAAATACGTTTGTATCATCGGCAAATAGTATCAGTTGTAATATTGTTGACGTGTTGATTATATCGTTGATGTAGAGTAGAAAAAACAAAGGCCCTAGTATTGAACCTTGGGGAACGCCACACATGATATTAGCACGATACGAAACATAACCATTGTATTCTACAAATTGAAGTCTGTTGGAAAAATAGTTCTTAATCCATTTCAGAGCCAAGCCACGTATACCATAGTGTTCAAGTTTATCAAATAAGATGGAATGATTGACTGTATCGAAAGCTTTCGAGAGATCTAAAAAGACACCAACCGCTAATTCACCACGATCAATAGCAGATGAAATTTTTTCATGCAAATCAATCAAGGCAAGCGTCGTAGAGTGGTTTTTCCTGAAGCCGAACTGGTTATCACAGAGAATATGTAAATTAGTTAAATAATCATACAAACGATCATAGATGATTCTCTCTAGAAATTTTGAAAAGCTTGGTAGAACCGAGACAGGCCTATAGTTAGTGAATAGTGACTGGTCATCAGCTTTAAACAGAGGTACCACACGAGCTATTTTCATTTGATCTGGTACAATGCCATGAGCGATCGATAAATTCATAATGTGAGCCAGAGGTCCCGAAATGATTTGAATGGATTCCTTAATTATAGACATTGGAAACTCCTATTTTTGATATTGAATCTTTTTTTAGAAAAATTGTTTTACAAATTTTCTTTGTTATTTATGTGCTTTATAATTTAGGGTTTTTATGTAATGCCATCTTGCAAATCACATCTGACATAACACAAGTCGAATGACCTGAACCTTGAAGCAGTTACTTTGTTTCTTTTCCACGTACAAAAAAAAATGCATGAGTAATTTGTTACTTGTTTGTGTTTGGAATTTAGTACCTATTAACGCTAGATGTAAAACTAGACCTTTACAAAGCTGAGAGATTCTCTAATATCCTGAACATGAGCTCTTTTTCGCTTGTTTGTTTCTTTGTTTTTCGTAGTCTTCCAGACAGTCCTGCAGAACCTGATCTAGAAAACCAGCAAGGAAGTTCTGAAGAACCTAAAGTCATCCCTCATGATGAGGTATGTCCAGATTGTAAATTCCTTTCAGTTTTTGCTAAATCACATTCCTTTTGCTTTGGAGCACTGATTATTTTTAGGTCGTGGAGTTTTGCGTTCTTGGATGCTTATAGCCTGCGAACAAGCTCTCCTTTTGGGAGAGTCGCGAGAAGTCACGCGATAGCCGCACGCTAAAGGAGACTCTCACGCCTTGGCCACTCGATCGCAAGATAGGATGCTTGCTCACGTTCTAGCGCGGTAACTGGTCGTTTCGCCCGAAAGTCGTGCGTGCTTAGGTCGTTTCGCTGGAAGTTTATTTGTCGTTCTTTAAGCCGTTCGATTCACCCGACGGCTGTTCGCCGGACTTGATTGGATTCGCCCGATGGGCGAAACGACCACAATTCTTTTAAGCCATAGTCCAATCACCCCCTTCTTTTTTTGGCAGTAATTGCTCGTACACCGTAGGGGCTAGTTACACAAATCTGAAGTCCAGCCGAGTCAAACTCTTTAATATAAACGCCAGACGTCAGTAGTTCCACAGAGCGCAGAGGGGTAATTTGTGACCTTGATTGCACTTAAATTTCATATTTGATACCGCGAATCGCCTTTGTTTACTGTAGAATCCAATATGAACTTGACCAATCAAACCGTCATGCGATCGTTTTGCAAACCTGGTGAAGTATTATCTAATGCTCTGGGAAACCGCGAACGGTAATGAATGTGGACGAACAACAGCGACTATAATTTTCTTCTGGGCACTTCGTATCTCGCTCGGAAAGCTTCGCCTTTCGGATGCGTTCGGGCGACGTTCGTTCCCACCAATCAAAGTCACAATTAACTCCTTTGTTCCCTGGGGCAGTTCCGTTTGGAACTGACTGAGCTGATTTCTTTTGGCAGAAGGGGACCACTCATGTACCTGCAAAGACTCCAGCTGTGTCAACTAGTAGCGGCGGCGGCGTTCAGCTACCTGCGGCTTTGATGTCACTACTGTCATCAGCCTCCTCATCAAATACAGGTTTGTTGCTGTTGTAGCTTATTCTCACTTTTCAGTGGTGCCACGTTTTCTCTCCAACAGTTAAAGACATCAATATAATTCAAATTATGAGCCTGTGAAGGAAGTCTAATTGTTTCAGTGCAAGCCTCTCTCTCAGTAGTTCTTTCCTTACTCTCCCTCTTGTCTCAACGCTCCCCCAAGCGTTGTGTGACGAGACAAAAACGGCTGCGAGGGAGACTATTCTTTCCTGTGCTGCTGTCTATAATGCTATATAAAGTGGTTCTGACGTCAGGGAACTCCGACTGTATGACCGCTCAATGTGAGGGTATTACAGGCGAAACTCTGGAAAACCTAGAAATTTCGTTTAATTTTAACCGCGTTCAATTCATTTACCTTATCTAACACAAACATTAGTTTTCTACAATAAGTTATACAGCGAAACCTGGATATAACCAACCTTGATATGACGCCCCCGATAGTTGATCCAAGCGTAACGAACAATATTTTTTGTCCCAGTTGCAGTAAAATGCGTGGAACTGAACCCCGATAATTTTTCCAGTACCTCGTTATATCGGGTGCACTGTCAGGGCTCGAAAAAAGTCCCAACTAGTGGTCTAGGACGAGTAGATTGTCTTGGTGGGCAAATAACTTTTAAAGCTTGCTTGTCCAATGGGTAAGGGTCCAGGCAAGTCATCCTCTGACAAAATCATTAACTAAGACGAGCAAGAACTGGCCCCGGACAAGAAAAATTGTGAGAGCTGCTTACTCAAAGTTGAAATTCAATTTTTTCAAGCCCTGACTGTATAATAAAATCTCGCCTCTTGTGGCCTCCTGAGGAGAACGCATTTGGTAGAAAAATCGTGGGCAAGATTGCAGCTAGCCTGCAAATAAATCCGCCTTTCATCGCCCTTCTTCGCTGGGGACGTTTTTTACTTTTTTAGGTGGGAAGGAAAATTGATAATAATAGTAATAATTAATTAGTTAATAATAGTAATTTACAATAATAATGAACTGACTATGCGTTCTGGTTTGAATAAACGGGAGGTAAAAAAAAAAACAGTAAACTGCGTTGTGCAAATCTTATGGTCAGCCTAATCAGCGTTATCTCTTGTTTTCTGTCATTTGAAGGTGCGGCCGTAAGCCAGAGCAACTCAGCTCCAGTTACTGTGCAGACTCTGTTAGATAAACTAATGGTAAGTTTCATGTCACGTGTCCGTAATAAATTTTAAGACGAAGTACAGTAGAACTTCTATGGGAGACCACCTATCCAAAATAATGGATTTTCCCGGTCAATGCACTAATACGCAGTTCTCCACAATTTCCAGTTTACTACCACTTTACAACAACCACGCGTCTTCCGTAAGCGGCCCCCATAATGTAGCATTTTGTGTGATAGAAATCAACTGTAAATGGTTTTGAGCTAGTGGAGAGAATCCGTCACTGTAAGCTGGTACGTCTTCAAAGATAGTCCACCTTAGAGGGGTACCTACAAATGTTGGATTCAGCATTGGCCATACCTTAACTTTTGTGCTTCGTTTATCCTACGTGGTGGATACTAACCCGAAGGGAAGTGGGAACGAGAGGAATCACCCTTCTCCTCCTTGGCTTGCCCTTTGCGTTCTCGCACGCCCAATGATTTTTCGCTTCCCCACCTTTGCAAGTTCCCACCGTGTAGATCATTTTTCATTCAGTAAAGTATTTCAATCTAAACGGTTCACACAGTGCTGTGTGGCGTGTCTAACAGCTATTTCATAAAGCTCGTTTAACGTATTTGCAATGTTAAATGGCTTGCATTTTAATAAATCGCTGCAGCTTACATCAAAACAGGGGAAACTAGAATTGGTTTAGCCTGCGCCACAGACAGAACTAAACTCCGGGTTTGGGTTGTTCACACGTTGGATAGTGTTATCCACCGGATAAATCACTATCCAATCTATGTTAAGTTTCATATTTTTCCTTTGAGAGCGTTATCCACCTTTCGAACAACTTGGCCCTGGTTAAGTCTGTCAGCGAAACAGTGTCGAAATCCTTGTTCTGGGCCCCGATTTATTCACCAGGATTTAAGTACGCGCCATGATTGGCCTGTTAAAAATGTCATGACCTATTTGCCAGTCAGGTAAAAGGGAAATTGGAACGCATTTCCTGTGATTGGTTGAGTCTTCTGGGGGCCAAGTTGTGGCCCACAACAAGGATATTGGCTCTGTTCGCAGACGTTACCAACCGGGGTTAGAGTACTTCTTCGACGCAGGCCAGAAGTGGTTTAACCTGCGATCAGGCGATTCTTCTTCCTTTTTTCCCTGATTGCTGATTAGATGTGGCTCAAAGTATTGAAACATTTATGCTTACGCTTGTTTGTTTTTTGCAATGTGTTATCTTAACACACTGGTCGTATTCTGTGATTTCAGAAACCCTCTCAACCGGGTAGTATATCTTCCGCGCCATCCAACTCTCAGCCTCAGCTTCACAATGAGGCAGGAGGTGCAGCCCTACCCAATGCCCTTAAACAGATCCTGGAACCTCTGCAGCAGAATAAAATGGGCCCTCCAAGGATGCAGGGTCCTGCCATGGGTCCTGGCATGGGGGCAGGATTGCTTGGGGCTGGTAAGTGATCGACTGTTCTCTTTGAATTTCACTTTCACTAGCCTAAACTACTCACAGAGGGTAAAGGACTAGAAACTGGGCGGCTAAGTATATGATATGAGTGGCACTCCTCCCTCACCATATAGCGTAAAACGAGGTTCGTGAACCCAAATGTTAGCAGATACACCATGGTGTAGATCAAAGTTAGCCCTGTTTACAAGAAGAGAGGTGGATTTTCCCTGGATCAAAAATGATAAACAAAAACTATTTGGAATAAAAACTGGGTTTAAAATGGTGGAAAATATATTTCGCCAGATAGGCACATAAAGGTGTTAAAAAATTCCCATGGTTAAAGCAACGTGTCGGCCTAGCAAGCGAGAAATGCACGCCATCTTGGAGATTTCCTACTCGGGCTCGAAAGAAAAATCCCATCCGGTAGTCCGGGATTAGTAGATTTTCTTGCCGGACAAGCAACTTTTAAAGCTCACAATGGGCAAGGGCAAGCCATCCTCTAACTAAATCATTAACTTAGACGACCAAGACGTGGCGCCGGGTAAGCAAAATGTTAGAGTTGCTTGCCCAAAGTTCAAGCTCGAGTTCAAATGTTTATCGAACCCTGTGAAACCTCACTTCACTGTTAGATCGTGACGTATTGCGATGAATGCGAGAAGGTTTACTTGTATGTGAACCCTATCAGTACGTATTATTGTTGCGATGATGTTGCATAGTTTTTTAATGGGCTGAATGTCAACTCTGTATTTGTTTGTTTGCTTGTTTATTTTAGCGCCCGGCGACCCAAGCGGAATGCTGAATACCTTTAGACCGCCTGGTCCAATGGGCCCCAGAGGTGTTCAAGGCCCGCATCTACGCCCCGATATGGCTCCTCATTTTCAGGGTCCTGGAGGTCCTAGACAAGGACCTCCTATTGGGCCTCTTTTCCCAGGTCCTGAGGGGCCCATGATGGGAGTACGAATGAGGGGCCTTATGCCGCCTCGAATGCAAGGTGGACACGGTGTTGGAAGAGGACCGAGGCCACTTCTGCCAGAAATGGTAAGCTGTGACTCGGACAGAGGTACAACACTGATAACAAATAAGATTACTTTGTACAATGAAAGAAAAACAACAACAACTGACTTCATCACAGGCTTCTGCTCAAATGACCCTAACATAGCTTCGTAAACCCCGCCCGATAAAACGTTCTTGCATCAAGCCCTTTCCTTTGCCGTTACATCAGGTAACCATCCCGTGTTTATCAACAATGAGTGGTCACAAGAGAGATTAAACGGAACAGGGAGGGAGTCTTAGGGCGTTGGCAAGGCCTTCTTGGTGGCTAATATCCCCTCTTCGTTCAAAAAGGAAGAAGTAGATTTGTAATAGCAAGGTTACTTTATTCATTCCCAGGCCAACCGTGACGAATTTCCCCCAGATCAATTTGATGATGGAGGAGAGTATGGAGACGAAGATGAAGAAGGCGAGCTTGGAGACATGAGCATGCGCGGTAGAGGACGAGGAATGCTGCGTGGCCGAGGGCGTGGAAGAGCCCGGGGTCGAGGAACACCTCCCCTTTGTCGACACTTTATTTCAAAGCGAGGCTGCCTCAGAGGAGCCACGTGTCACTTTTTACATCCTGGAATTAATGGGCCGCCAGTCTAACAATAATAAACTATGTGCGATTGTAAGAGGGCAGGCACTGAATTCCACGTTGTTTATAAAATCGCATTCATCATTCTCTTGTACTGTGCGGGCGACTTTAAATAAATATTGTATCAATTTTCCTGGAATTCAGTGCCAGCTCTTTATAGCGACCATAAATTTGAATCAAAATGTTACAAGAAAGTGATAAATCAAGGAGCCTGGTGGTATATGTAGAGAAAGAAATGTTAGGTTCTGTTATTAATAATAGAAGCCTCCAATCGTTACTTTTGAGAAAACTGTAAAGTAATCGTACGTGAGGCATCAAGTAAAGTTCACTCTGCTCCTTCTGCCATAGGGAAAGCGTAACTGTTGGAACTAGATTGTAACTTTACCACAAGCCAAGACATGGTATCAAGACGTAGAGGTCATCAGTGTGTTACAATAACTTATCCTTGCTGTACAGACATTTTACGGTACCACTTACCCGTAATAGATCCCTGCGTCCCAGGATCAAATTGTTATGCCCCTGGTCACTTGTTTAAGAGTTTTCTAATTTTATTAGGAGTCGACGAAGGAGAAGGAACGTCATCTGTAGAATACGTTTGTCGCTTCTGGAGGTATCGAACATTTCAGGCGTTCTAGAGAGCTCCGAACAGATATTTTCTAGAAAACGGTCGTTCTGTGCCCCTATAGAATGTCTTGGTATCCTGTCGCCGCGTGTTAACGTGATTTCATTACTCATCAGTATTTCTCTGAAATATCTCAGTGGAATTACCTCAAGTAACAATTGAAAAGACGAGTTCTTGCATTTCCTTGCTGTACCAGTAATTAAGAAGTTTTATTTACGGCGTTCCTTCAATTTATCTTTGTACAAAATGTATAAATTTTGGAATGCAATATATCAGTGTAAAATAATAGGTGGAAACAATTTTTAACATCTGAGAGTATTTTGTGACAAATTAAGTAATAAATATCTCTTTATATAAATCAGCTTGTCACTGAACCGTGCAAGGAGAAACAGTGCTGCTTGGTACATTTTGTTGTGAAATGACAACAGTTCGAAGTGGATGTCACTTATGTAAAAGGCTGGTCGCAGTAAGATGTAAAGGAGCTTGCAGTACTCAAAATTGGCCTGCCTTGGGTTTATGTTGATGCCTGATATATGTATTCTCTCAAATGGCTTCCATTCTCTCTGTAATATTTGTTGGGCGTTCGAGGGTAGCACAACTGTGATTGGAAAACGTACAAAGGAATAACACCCATAACACCGAAAAATAATACTGTTCTTTTTCTGTAATAACTAGTACATATCGAAACCTACACATTGATGGCGTGGAAAAGATGACCGTCATTTCTTGGGAGTTAAAAAGTTGAGAAACAGTGGTAAATGAGACGCAGAATGTAGACTGCACCTTAACACCTACACCTTAAGGAGACCTTGAGAGGCTACCTTGCAGAGAGGTGGCCTTTATTGAGAGGTTTAAACGGTTATTAATCATGGACTGTCCGCCAAAAAAGTTGCCGTTGTAGAGAGGTTGCCGTTAGTGGAGGTTCGACTGAATTAACTCTCATCTATCATTAAGTCTCTCATCTATCTTGATTGAAAAAGAAACATATCGTAAGTACGATAAGTGCAGTTTCAACTGTTTATTAATTATTCCAGTGTAAAGATCTAGAACGAAATTTCTTGTTGCAGTGTACATAGAGTACCGAAGCTCTTTAAAGTTGTTTAAGAAAAGTTAACGTAAGTGAGTTGATTATCACCTAGCTGCTCGGGGCAAAGCCTTATTTGTTTCAGTTACACCTATCCTTGTTTAGTGAGAGAAAACTTAGGTATAAAGTAAACGGCATTTGCGGATCAAAGCGTTTCAGTATCTTATATTCCACCTTTCTAAAATCTGGTGAGTTGATCATCAAACGGCCCACAATTGTTGAAGTTTACAAAGTTGGTTTATTTACATTGCAACGGTGTATTGTGTAATTAATTGTCTGATAATTTGATGAATTAAATTTGAACATATTTCACTAAAAGCTCTTACTTTATTTTACTTTGAACGCATATCTGACGGTCGAGTAAACAGTCTCTTGTCGTGGCACTGCCTGGCTCCCACGAAAATATGGCGCAACAACTCACCCCCACCCACCGCCATCTCACTGTTTTAGCTAGACAATTAGCATCAGGGTTAGCATGTCTTGTACTTCAATGTAAGTGGTCGCTGTGCTTAGGTCTGCCCATAGTAGAACTCCATGCACAGTTCAATATTTCGCATAAGGAAAATCACAATAAAACTACTTAACCAGTGGAGCATATCCTGTTTTCTCGTACGTGAGCGCCTTTTTCTCTCAAGTAATGCACCTATCAATGTAAACCCCGTGGCGGGGGGGGGGAGTGCGGGCAAGGGGTGGGGATTTGACAAATTTTAAAATTTTTCGATCAAATTCCCCAGGGTGGGAAACGAAAGGTCAATCAAAAGTGTCAAAAAAGCCCCCACCCCAGGGGAAAAAATCTAAACAAACAATGCTATAATACTATATAAAACGAATAAAAGAACATTTCAAACACGTTGTTACTACTTTTATTTACGGTTAACGGAAGCTCCATTAAATTACTCGCTGTAATTAAGTATTTTCTCTCTCTACTAGCATCTCTTATCTTGAACAACAAAATCACTTCAGCAAGATTGACCGTGCTGTATAATATTAATAAAACGTAAGATCCTTTATAACATCTGCTCATTACAACATGTCGGAACAGTTCGGATCAGTGACCCATAAAAAATCTTCTGACTTTCATGGTGGAATTCGATTTCAATCGAGGTTTACAATCAGATGGGAACTTGAAGATAAAAATTTCCTCAAAATAGACATTATCTGTTTAGATGACAGTTTAAAGTATCGCATTATGGCGATTAAAACAAATGAAAACTTCATACCTTTCTCCAACAACGTGACTTTCAGGAAGCCTCGAGCGGGGACGGACTTGGTAACTGCTTCTGAATTGATACCAGACTTCTGTCGGTCAAAGTCAAATGTCCCGACCCCGGGGTCGCTTCGCACGATCAAAAGCCCGACAGCGGGGATAGTCCCAGGCATCAAATCCCCTCCCCTTGCCCGCACTCCCCCCCCACGGGATTTACATCGATAGGTGCATAATCTCACACGAGAAAGCCAGGGATGCCTAAGGGTCACTCTTCAACAGATTCTCGTCCCCAGAGGCGGCGATCATTTTGTCCAGCGCCACGAGTGCAGCTGGTGCAAAGAATCGTGGCCCTCGGCTAGAAACAAAAAAAAGTGACCATTCTCGTCCCCAGAACCCATCGTTTTGTTTGGTCACGTGGTATTAAAACCGAGTGGCTCTGGAGACGAGAATGAGAATTGCCCAACACCGTGGCACGTTATACGCATGAGCAGCGTGCGCTATGTCACACAAGCTTAACACACAAGCGATAAACACAAGCGCGCATTCCCATTCTCGTCCCCAGAAACCGCCGTCTTTTTGGTCACTTTGTCTTGAAACGAGGGGTCGGTTACAATAAGCCGAATTGCTCTAAGGATGAGAATGGAGCATTCCCGTCCCCTCGGAGGGGACAAGCAAGGATCGGGAGCTCTGGCGAGGGCCGAAGCCGGGAGTGCGCAAAATTTCTACCTTTGCGCAGCCTTGAAAAAATGAAACAATTTCCAACGTTTCCAAAAAGAGTCACTACGCTTACGCGCTATCCTGGCATGGTCTCAGCCAGAGCCCTCGGTCTGTGGCATGCACTGGCCAAAAGGATCGCAAGACCCCCTCCTTCCCCCACTAGGGGACGAGAATGACTGACGCGAGGCTGCCATGAAAAGCTGTATTGTCTTTGTTAGGTATCACCAGCGTGGCATAGCTTTAAAAGCCCTTTACTGCTAAGGTAGCGGAAACCCTTTCCTTACATACCGTAGACACCGCTTATAAGCCCTAATCCACCCTCCCCCCCCCACCCCGAATTCTAAAGCTTTATTTGCTTGTTGCTTCAAGCTAGCATGAAGTTCGTTGTGTACTTTGCTTTGTATATCTCAGATATAAAATTACATCTACCAATGTAATTTTACACCAATAAGAGTTCATTCGGGTTCTGCCGTTTTATAACTCTCTTTGGAGAGAGCGGATTCCGGATTTTCAGCTAAAGCTCTTCTTGGTTGCAGTATTACGTGGTTAGGGAAAGCGAAAAATCTTTTGTCGAGAAAAAACTCGCCACTCTATAAACTGTTGGGAAAATGGATACAAACGTTAGGGTACACGATAAATTTCGGGGAACATTTTGGTGGACAAGCTGTAGCATCTTTAGTTTTATTTATGAGACTTAAAAACAACAGCCATTGCTCGAGTAGAACATTTGAGCTCTATTTTATTTTGGAATCTTTGATTATTCTGTACACTGTACGGCCTTACGCAAGGAATTAAGGCTCTCTTGCTATCTTATGAATATTATTTACACACCTTTGACAATAATATTTATCATACAACTAGTATAGGCGGCCATTGCTATTTAAATTATGCATGAGGATGTAATATAATTAAGTATATCTTCATTTCTTGAAAACGAGACTATTTTTATCGCTAGGTAGGTTTTGTATTTTGATAGAGGCCTTTAGAATTAGGACGTCATTGATAGGAACGTTAATAAATAAGAAGATAAAAGCACGTAAGATTTCAGACCTCTTTTCCAACTCTGTTTTCTTAGAAGCGATTAATATTCAGTTCTTCAGATCGTGAGAGAATCAGTCAGTAGAGAGATTGAGAGTCACGCTTACGGTATATACCGCATCAGTACTCCAAATTTAAGTTGATGAATTCTCGGAGTAGAAAATGAGCAGATGAAAACAGTCTAAAACAGTTCTTATGGATAAAACTAATGTGAAGCAGTCAAAGAAATTTAAGGAGAAAACTTGGTCACGTGGTACAAATTCTCGTTTGCTATTTTCCGTAAACGCGACTCTAAATCTCTCTATTGTCACAGGTTTTACGGTTGCTAAATCGTGACGTCATAAAACAACGCATTTCGTAAACAAACATGGATACTTAGTAAGGAGAACTAAGTAGTATTTCAAGCACAGGGCGAAAAACATTAATCACTACTACTAGTACTAAAGCATAGCTTGGCTAATACAGAATTCTACTATTAAAGCAACTCCCTTTCAAATAATTTTCTTGAAATCCTCATGAGACATGAAACATTTAGAAAAGTGAAGTTAGTTTTGAACAACAAAAGCAGTGTAATTTCCGGCGGAGTCAAGGTTCGTGGATTAAATCCCTACATGTTGCCATTTTCAGAATTGACTTTCACCTCTGTTTTTTAAAAACGCGTTACAAAGTGGTTTTGTCGAAACTACTGCAATGCATGACAGATCAAAGACTTAAAACGGTACGATATTCAAGAGACGAACTCTGGTATTTGCGCCTGTCAGGAAATCCTTATAACTAGTGTTCAATAAAATGAAGCCGTCAAGAAAAGAATTCCTTTGGTAATGTGGAGTGTGCTCTATAGTTATAGTTTGGTTTTTAACTTCTCAGCTTGTAGTAAAATGCTTAACGAGGGTATTTGCTAAAAGTGAATGTGACTAGTGAATTCATCTTATTGCACGAGTTGATTCTATAGTTTTTAACTAGAATGCGATGGTGCACCCAAGATATTGTACGAGACTGAGTTGATGATAGATAAGATATTTTTGTGACACAGTCTCATTTTCCCACGTTCACTCACGTCAAATTTCCACCTGGTGACCTTACTGGCAATTTTTAAATTTCAAAATTAGTGTTTACTTCTGTTAACTGCTATAAGTAAAGGTTGAACCAATGCGAAGCTGCCTCGTCGGAATCTGGAACAAATTAAATAATTTTTTACATTAGGGAGGTTGTTTTAGAAAAATCTTCCTTTATCAGCTGAACTACCAACTCAAAATTTTACTGACATGTCCTTTTTGGTGGTTAGTTAAAGTTTAAAAAGTTTATGTGACTGAACATCTGAACTGACAACTACGCATTTGACGGAAAATAGTAGAAGTTTTATAAAGAAATGTATAGAAAAACATCTTTAAGTGGATTGATCCGAGTCTCGTGCAGAAATGTTTCAAGTTAAACTGCATTCGGCACCCACGTTGGTTTTTTCGTTCAATTGTTTTAACGAAGTGATATAACTGATGAACAAATTTCGTCCGTCAGGCTAAGAAAAAAAACGTAGCAACAAATTCACTTCAATTCATTTTTTTTGTAAGAATAATTACGTTTAGAACTCTGCCTGGTAAGTCTATAGCTGCATTAGAAAGATGAACGAAACATGAAACTTACTTAAAATTCTTACACCACTAAAATCCACCAGGTTTAGACGTTGGTGATTTGAGATGTATCAACTTTGAATTTAACATTGCAAACAAAAATAACTCAATACTAATATAAAAAACGCTTATCGCCAGCAGTACCATTGAAAATGGAATAATTTACCTTAATTTAGTCTTTAGATCAATTTTTATTCGATGCTGTCCGAGCCGTCCGTCAGTCCAATACGAACCAATTTGCATGGAAATTGCGCGTTGTTGCTTAGTTACATGTTGCTATGATCAAAGTCAAACAGGAAAGACGAACCTAATAGGAGAATGAGGTTTCAAAAAACTACGTTCTACTCGATTAGCTACGGTAGTTCTTTGGCAAAAAATACTGCTCTAGTATGCCAGAAGTTAGTTTTTTCTTTAGGGCTAATAAATGACATAATATCACAGACTGGAAATTACAAGATGGAATTTGTTTCGTTTTCTGGAATTTTTAGCTTCTATTCGACGTTCAATTTTTAGACACATTCACAGAGTCTATTTTCGTAGAACAGCTTCAAAGAGCTAGCTCAGAGGGTGTACAATTACAGCTTAGTTTTAAAATGAAACCCAGACATGGTGTTACTGAAAATGAGCATGCACTGAGAAGTTCATTTTTCTGTCAAAAAAGATGACCTGAGAGTATTCAAATAGATAAAAAAAATATAAATAATAAATAAATAAAAACTTTATCAGTCACATAAAGTTATTTCTATCAGAGCTGCAACATTCATAATGACCTAAATATCGCTTTTACCGCGTCCTGCGGCCGAGAACTGGTGTGCTAAACAAGCAATTGATTTCTGTTGAGAAAAGAAATAAAATCTAACGTATTATCGTTTTGTTGTTTTGGAACACAATGCAACAAAGATTTTATTTTTTCAGCTGTAATCTCTGGTCACTTATCCAAGGACCGAGCCTCATGTGAGAAACAGTGACCTTCTAAAGCCGCCGCATAATATATTGTCTCCTCTGAATCAATTATAATAAATTAAAATGAATTAATCATGTCATGCATAAGTTCTAAGTGATTCTGACCATTGTGATTTGTAGTCGTAGGGTATCCGCCTATATCCGCGGGGTTAAATTGCTGCGGTCGCATCATGCATTCATCGATACTCTGAATTCCATGTTCCATAGGAATTTCCCCGGAGTCTATGTGGTTAAGCGGTGGTTGGTACTGTGGTTGGAACTGCGGTGGCGCCATCATTGGTCCCATATGATTTTGTAAATGTTGGTATTGAGGAAGCATTCCATAAGGAGGGGGCTGGGATCCTGGTAGCTGAGGGGGAGGGGAAAGCGAAGGCGGAAGGTCCAAACTGTCTCTGTCAGCCCGCCTTTTGTCTCTTGGACTTGATGCTAAATGAAAGGTAAATAGAAAGATGAATGAATAAACAAATAAATAAATAAAGTCGAACCTCCACGTCCGACCACCTTTCGTAAGCGAAACCCCCTCAAAATACCGAAAGTTCCCCAGTAAAATCACTTTAGTTTGAACCTCTCGTAAAAGACCCCCTCTAGTAAGAGACCGCAACCACTTTTTTGGAAAACAGCTTCAGACTTTTCCCCTTAGGCATCCACTTAAGACATGGTTTGATCTCTATCATGTAGCCGGTTGTTGTTTGTACTACACTTCTGAGATAATGCGATGTACGTTTGGTGCTGAACATGAAACTGCGCATATCATAACTTAGAAAATGCATATAATGAATTCCCCCCCAAATTTCAGATGTGTCCGGGCCTATTCTGGGAAGCGACCCCCTGTGGGTCAGTTCTCGTAAGCGACCACTGAACCTAGGCAATTTATTTGGTCGCTTGCGAGATGTTTGACTGTAAATCAATGAATGAACCAATAAACGATTGAGTGGTAGCATATTCATGAAGTTTTAGATGTTGCTTTTGAGTGGAAAGAGAAACGGGACTACAACCCAAGCGAAATCTAGAGCTCAAGTGCCACAAGAAAACGCCTGCAATGCAGACTTGAAAGATCAAATAAACCTACATTTGCCGTCTTTAGTCTTTTTAAGACTTCTTTGCCGGTTGCTTACTCTACAGCTCGCAGCTCCGTCTGACTCAGGGTTGTTTCTTCTCGCAAGCTTCTTTATCTGAAAAACATACAAATCAAGGACAACAATTAATTTTTTACCTTTCTTCACATTATTTTTCCAAACTGGGTAGCTGGTATTTTCGAGTAGAGTACTGTACTGACGGATACGCAAATAATCTAACATGGTTTTGTCTCGTCACATTTGTGATAAGTAGCCAAAATGTTACCCCTTATCCACCCATCACATTAAGAATGAATAAATAAATAAATGAATGGATCAGTGAAATTTAAGTTTCAAACTATAAAAATAGCAGTAGAGGAGCGGCAACTAAATGGGGACAGTATAAAATAAAATTATTCAACTATTGTAATAATTAAAATAGAATAGATAAAACTATTTACAAGTGTATAATTATTGACGAAAGACCGAGGTATAAAATTGATAAAGTTTTCAAATGTGTAAGAGCTTCTTTTATAACAATGTATTATAGAAGGGCATCATTCATTCATTCAGTAATTCCTTCCTTCACTATTTCTTCCTTGAAAGTCTAACTTGTGTAGAGAAAACAACGGAAGAAAGCTCCTTGTTATAAGTAAAATGTTTCAAACAGGCAAGTCGTCTTCTATCGAAAGTAAAGGACTGTAATTATTATAGTTACCTTCGCTCTCTGATTTTGAAACCAGACTTGAACGACGCGAACACTAAGTCCTGTTTCTCTTGAAAGTTCCTCTCTAACCTTTAATTTACAAATGATAGAGTGATAGCAAAATGAATAATGATATATCGGGGAGAGCCTGTCGTTAAAGGAAGGAGCAAGAAATACTATGACCCTACACATTGTATGTTTCATGCTGGGAACGCCTAAAATACTTTAACGGCTTTTGGAGAAAGCAAAGGGCAGCACTCCAGGAGGTCTGTTCCTCGAAAGTCGGGCCCGAAAACAAATCTTCAAATCAAAATTTAAAGAAAAAACAGACAGGCACTAGCTAACAAACCCGTTCATTGTGTTTTGTTAACTGATAGTTTAATCATGTTAGAGCGGTTTTCACTTGACTGTCGTAAAACCAAAACCAAAGTAAATACACTAGCCAACCAAAGGGCATAGTAAAACCAAAACCAAACCAATTCCTCAATTACTTTCGACAGTCAAGTGAAAACCGCTCTATCTGCCGAACTACTCAGTTAAACACTCATTGAATGACAGCTTTCCAGGCCCATTATCGGGCGGGACTTTCGAGAAAGACTGAGACTGGGCTCTACTAATCCAGACGCGGTTACCAAGCTTCTTCTTTCGTTGGATTCGTCACGCTTCGAAGGTGAGTCGAGTGTGCATATTTTTGCACTTTTTGAACTGCATTTCATTTATTTGGCATTCTTAAGACTTATCCAAGAACAAACCTCCAGTTGTGAGAACGTGTCTTTTTTGAATACACATCTGAGTAGAATGAATTTTGAGGGGACGGCGAAGCTAAAGTTTGTGACCCTTAGCACCCCAAATCATTTTGTAGCCTGCGTTACGCAGGCTATTTGTTTCACGACTTAGCAAGCTGCCTAAACTTTACTGCACATAGAATACCATGAAGTGAAATTCACATATATTTTAGCGTGATTAACAGCACCGCAGAAACGAGAAAAGAATTAAGTGGTCGTATCAGATACAAGTTACGCAAGGCAATTTAAATAAGCGTTTCCACTTAATTTCTTACCTTTCTACAAGGCTTGGAGCTTATTTCAAATGCCGATTTAAATATTTTTCTTTGTTGACTCGTGAGTATTGTTCTTGGCCGTTTTGGTCCTTTTTTATCGTCATTTTCATCGTCAGCTATTACTGAAGAATCATCCGAATCTGAGTTGTCAGCTTTCTCTGATTTGGTTTCTTTTTCAGTCTTTAAAATGTTGTTGATAACATCTGTAAAGAAACAAGTAAAAGTTAAAAAGAGAATAACTGGTAAGTTGCTCTGGACTAAGTTGTACACGACATGTCGTATAAATATTAGGATTACACAAAAGCGGAAAAAAAGGACCAAGCAATCGTGTTAAATGTGCATTTGTGGGGCTCTTTTTAAATCACACATGCCCAGCCCCTTCCCCCACCACACAAACAACATAAGATGCGTGTATCCAAAATTTTTCAACAGTTTCCACACTATAACATGTGGGAGCCTGAAGAAGAATGGCAAGGTATTTTATACCTGCCAACTTTTTCTGAAATGTAGGCGTGAGATTTTTATCCTGGGAGTACTGGGATTTTTGAAAACGACACGATCATTTCCGAAGATTCCCGAAGAAGCCCGAAGTCTTCTGAAGACGTCCGAAGTCTTCCGAAGACGTCCGAAGTCTGCCGAAGGCGAAGTTATCGAGAAAACGCTTATCCACAAAATCAGAGATCGCGAGGAAGGTATTGTCATTTATTCATTTTACACATGGTTTTCGTTCCTTACATGGGTCTGAGTTAACATATTTTTGGAAATTGTGTCAAGCAAGACGGCAACAACTCACATTTTTCAATCAGGCGTGAGAAATTGGTCCGCAGGCGTGAGCGGGCGTGAGATCGAAGTTTTCAACCCGTAGGCGTGAGACTCATGCCTAAGGCGTGAGAGTTGGCAGGTATAGTGTTTTCAAAAGGTAGCCTTCTTTTATGAGGGCACCCAGAAATTACAGATAATTACAAATATTTATAAGTAGGTGAACATCAACATCCAGGTGATCGTAGTCCTGAACAGGACTGTTGTTGACAGTGACTGATGTTTTGACAACCTGTGTGGTAGTGAACTTCATATTTAAAGTGAGTTTCGTCAGATCAGTTGATAATATTAACCTCTGGTTATTGACCTGATTGATGACTACCACACAGGTTGTTGAAACATCCATCTCTGTCAACAACAGTCTCACTCAAAACTATGATCACCCGCATGATCATACTTAACCTACCTATATAATGACTCCTGGGTTCAAACCTTTAACAAAATTATGAATATTGTAACACTGTCCAAAGTTTTGTACAGGGTTGTAGCTGGCTTGATTAGGGTCAAAAATAGGAAAAGATAAGGCTACAATGCTTGGTCAAGGGAGAAACAGTGAAGGTAGAAAAGTTGTATTTAACAAATTATTCCTCGAGCCCGCAGTAGTCCAGGGGGATGAAAGGAATAATTGTTTTACTAAAATCCAACTAGTTGGTCAAAAATATGGAGACAAAACAACTTCAGCCAGCAAAACGTGATTCAGTCACCATTGTTTTGGTTTTCAAAGCCAGTGCTTTTTGCTATTAGTGGGCTATAACATATAGCCTAGTAGTAGCTCAACCAATCAGAACATAGCATTGATAATAGACCACTAGTTGGATTTTACTAATTAAAAATACTCCTCTGTACGGAATGTGCAAAAAAGGGAACTCATTTGGGGGCTTACCTAAGAACCTAGAAAATCTGGGCTGAGCACAGGTGACCCAAGCAAAATATGAGAGTTTTTATGGGAAATATAGCTTACACGAAATAGATGAACTAAAACTGGTAAAAGTTATCAATAACATATCAATATTGTTACCTGGTGTCATTGTTTTTCTTTCATCAAGGGTCAGCACAACTTGAGCACTGACATTACCTAACCTGACTGTGTAATGGTAAGGGAAAATCCCTTTCCATTACACATGTCAAGTCACTGTCAGGTTAAGATGATGTTTTAGTGCTCAAATTGGGCCGAAACCTGGTAGAAAGAAAGACAATGTCACCAGGTGACGGTATTTATACTTTACTGATAACTTTTACTCATTTTAGTTCATTTATTTGATGCAAGTTAACATAGAACTCTTGATGTTTCAAAGGGGAAATAAGTGCTCTATGTAAGGGATCCTGGAATACAGGAAATTTTTGCTCGTGAAATCTGGAATCCGGGAAATTTTGCTAGTGGAATCTGGTATCCCTGGAATACAGCTCAAAGAATCTGGAATCCTGCTAATGATTGGAGTCTGGAATCCAGTGCCCAGTATCCGGAATCCAGGTGTGGAATCCAGAATCCAAGACTGTCTTGGATTCCCTTACATGAGGCAAGGGAAATATGGCGATTTGTCGCCGGAAATGTTGACCACTCCAGAAAATAACATAACATACCATAATGCTCTTTGTTTGTCACCCCAAAAATTTGAGTAAGCATTGTTTTCAGTTTCTCTTGGGGCCTTTTTAATTCCCAAGAGAAACTGAAGACAATGCTTATGCAAAATTTTGGGTGACAAAGAAAGAGCATTATGGTATGTTATTACATTTTCTGGAGTGGTCAATTGAAACTGTTCAGTTACTCTTAACCCTTGGAAAAACAACAACAATGAAACGGAAAGAACATCATCATCAAAGTTTAACTCACTTTCTTGTTGTTGTTTGTGAGGTGGGCTGTTGGCTGGTCCTTTAATCGGTATCTTTCCATAGTCCTCTTTACAATATAAATTGTTATCTTTCAGTGCAAATTCCTGGCCTTTTTCAAGCCGGTGTCCGCACATGGTACAAACGAAGCATTGTATATGATACACATTTCCTAAAGCCCGCATCACAAACTCATTTGCTGGTATTGTTGTCTTGCAGCCACTGCACTTTGTTCCATACGTCCTGTAAGAGCAAAAAGACATAGAAATCATGGATAAGTGTTACTCATACAAACGGATTATCGAGCCATGCATGCTGAGGACAAAACAAAAAGGTGCCGTGCAATCTCCATTATTTGGGAACATTGGGTGGATAAGGGTTACAGTTCCAATTACGTGGAGGTAGCTGCCTCCCTCAAAGGTTTCTCCAAGGCTAGGGCAGCAGGGAGGATTAACTTTAATGTGGGGTGTTGGAGAAAAGCGCCTTTCTCTCTCTCTCTCTCTCTCTTGGCGCCCTCCCTCCTCAGTAGTTATCTAAAATGCCGTATTACTGTATACCCAAATAACCATTTGCGAGCAGCTGAGGTCGAGTCAGACCAGGAAGCCGGTAGCGTTTACTTCCATGTGGGGCATTGGAGACAAACGCTCTCTCTCTCTCTTGTCGCCCGCTCTCCTCAATAATGAACTAAAATATCCGGAAGTAAGCGATTACGACTCGGAGCTGCTGAGGTCGAGTCAGAAACGGCAGCCGGGAGCGTTTATTTCAATGTGGGAGGTTGGAGACGAGCACGTCTCTTTCTCGGTTTCACGATTGGATTTGGTTTGGCCGTCCGGTGCGTATCTTTTGGACACCCGTGGACTGAAAAGCATTCCAAATAAAACCCTTACTGAGGTAAATGTATTACAATGGTTTGAGAAATTTGTGTCAGTCCAACAGATTGATGTCCAGCTGGTTTAATGGTGCGCCAAACTCAAATTCAACAGAAGAACTTAAGTGTCTCAACCGAAAAGGTCGGAGAGAGTTAGACCAGCTCGCGCAACCTAGAAATCGAACTCAGAGTTAACGTGAGACCACTCCAACCACTGTGAGGTCCTGTTACCATCAGACACGGTTTTGTAGGGTGATGCAATTGTCAAAGTTAAAACTAAAGAAATTTCCTTTTGAAAAATACAGAAATTGAAGACACAAAGCAAAAGTATGACCAAAGAGATTTGATATCAGTGGTCACAACACAGGTTTTCGTCCACGAATACCACATAGCAAGATGTGAAAGAACAGCAGATGGTTCATTTGAATGGTGGCACCATCGTATTTCTTCCAGCCCGCGAGCAAACTCCCCATTTGGGCAGAGTAGCACGCGAAAGGAGATTTGCTAGCCGAAGCTGTATTTCGTCCGAGGACGTCAAAATTAAAACTGCATACTAAATAAATAGTACCAGATGAAAGAATTGCTGAAGAGGTTTTATTTTTGTAAGAGTAAGTAGCGCACAACGTGATATCTCCTTTATCCAAAGACTCAAATGGTCAGAAATACTCCTTAAAAATTGCCAAAAGAAAATGCTGTTAGAGGGTTTTCATTTGAATGAATAAGCGGTCGTCCGTCGGTCAGAATTCGCCGGAGTCATTTACTTGACCCATGGAACACCGAATGGCAGAACTAAAATGAAAAGCTAACATAGAAAGTGCTTCGAAGAAAGACTATAACAACAGAACTCCAGACAGCTTAGTGAAGATTTATCTCTCCCATTTTCGCGGAGTCTTTATCAGTATTTTCAGGAATATTTGACAAAGTAAAGTAGTTAACAGTTATCTTAAATTAGCGAGTTGGAATAGCAAACAGAGCGATAGGTGTTTAACGTGTTTTAAACAAACCTGTCTTCGACCACGTTTCCGTAAACTTAGATAATAAGTGAAATTATTGTCGTGTTCAGCTGGTTAAATAAGCTCTTGAGATACCATATCTACAAGCAGGTTTTTGTATTTGCGTTTATATATCTCATTTTCCACGAGTTGACAAACCTGCCTTGAAAAGCAAACATGAAAGATTTATTCTGTAAGGTGAGATTCTCAGATCCAACTTGGTTATTTTCCTTCTTGCTGCTCAATGCATTTTTTCGCTGGTTTGTCATTTCGAAGAATTTATCCCCTTCTCTTAATCTTTTAACATTGTTTATAAGTCTCGGCTTTTTTAAAAGTGACGGCCTCGCACATATAATAAGAACTATCAAATTATGTAAACAAAACGCTCATATCACTTTCTAAATTTTTGTTCCTGTCAACATATTAGCTTTTCAATAGAGTTATTTAAAATAATGTTTTTCCATCCTTCTTTTAGTGATACTTAGATTGTGATATGCTCACTCTATTTTTGATACTATGAACCGAAATACCTCTTAAAATGTAAAAAAAAGGAAGCCGGTCACGTAATAGAATACCCTATTACTACAGCAATAAAATATAAAACGAGGAAAATGTCTATACTGTTATGACATGATTTACAGCGTTTCCAAAATAAACCAAACCAACTATGATGAAGTAAAAAAGAAAACGCCTTAAAATAGATTACACTTTACTCGCCACATTAGAATGAGAATTTTTTTGAGTACTACTTTCAGTTCTTAAATCTTAACCTCTCTAAAGCAACTTACAATAAGGCAGTGAGAGATTTGATTCTTTGCGAATAAATTATCCGACCCGTTTCACCCTAAAAGCACTCAAAATCAGCTAAAATCGGCGTAAGCAGAAACTTAAATCTTCTACTGTAACACCACTGATGAGCAAATCAGACGAATTACTGACAGAGGTTTCATTTGAATAGTCCCAGATAGTTAGAGCTATTTCGTTTTGCTCCATAGTAGCGTTTATTAGAGGGTCAAAAGTGGTCTTCACTTGAAGAAGAAGAAGTTAATAATGGGTTATGCGGCGTAACATAAAGGCTTTGGTGACTCTTATCTGGTCTTACGAGAGCTATGCCAAGAGCTAAAATTAAACTAAGTATTCTCAGTCGCCTTTTTTAAGCTAGGACCTCCAATGGATGGCTACCAAGCGAACCTTGCAAACAAAGCTAGATCATGAGCACTTGCTTGGGTATTTTCCACAGCATAAGGGTTGCCAGTGAGCCCTATTTTTTAAACTTGAAATCTATTTCCATCCTGGTTATCGAAAGCCCAAGACACGCAGAGTAGAGGGATAATTATTTATTGCATAGTTTAGGCAGAGTCGTAAAATAATTTTAAGTAGAACAGTGAACCTTTTTTCAGGGCCGGGTTTTGCTATTTTCCAATTTTTCGGTCGGTTTGGGTTTCAAAGCAACACCAAAAACTCGTAACACAGCGTCCTTCCATTCTACATGGCCCATCATTCAAGAATTCAAATGCAACCTTTTCGGTAAGACTATCATTTTCTCGTTATTCGTTCTGCAGTTCGTTCAAAACAAATTTAAGATTTTTGTCGTATCTTAATGTCAAGTCGCTCTCAGTCGACTGAAAAATTCCTTTAAGGAAATCTTAGCTCTTCTTGTACTGGTTAAACCAGTCATTATTTGGAAAGAAAAAGAGAAAAGTCAAATTTTGGTATAAAGTCACTGCCATACTGAGACTTGTTTCTGTATAACAACAGAGAATAAAACAAATTATATTGACTAATATCAGCAAAGCACGTAGTGGCCGTTGTAAAATTGACAGTGAACCGAAGTCATAACGTTAAGTTGTGTTAATGATTGTCGAGTCGTTGAAAGTGGAGGCGTTAGAATCATTGTGGCTCTCACGTTTTTTTTTTTTTTTCAAAATCTCTCGTCCATTCAATAGAAATATATCAAACATGGAAAACAGGCTTGTGAATTATAGCAGGCCTTGGTTTACCTTGAACGTACTGTTGTGTTCAGTTAGGAGCAGTGCTGACTAGAGGCCTAAAACAAGAATATGTCACTAGCTAATGCTGGAATGTGTTTTGAAGAATAAATAAAGCTTTTCGTTGAGAAGCAGAGGGCATTCCCTGACTAAGTCTGTCAAAATGCTTATGAACCAGAAAACGTTTTTCACGGTATTGTTTGTTTTACTACGAACTCCGATATGGATACAAAAAATTATGAGTCTGCGAACGAAATTCTACGATGTGACCATGCAAATGAAATCTCATCGGCAGTATTACATGGTACTGGACCATTTGTCTTATAATATTTCACAAAACAAAGTTTTAGAATTTTCTAGAATTTTTTTGAGAGACATAGTAGTGCGGGGTTAATTCAATATTAGAACCCTATTCTCTTTCATAATGACATTTAACGCCCTTTTGGAAGCAAAAATATCAATGATATAGACCCGCTGAATACATGCAAACACTCAGTACTGGCTATCAATTGCCAAAAGATAAAGAAATTCTAAACTGTTGGATCTGACGATTTGACGAGTGTATAATTATTTTCTTCTTAACGCATGTGAAAAGCAAAATATACTTGTGTGGTCGTGGATACTCGCAAGTGCCCGCTGTTCCAAATTCTCTTAAAATGCATCCCAAAAATACGAAAATATGAGGGGAAAAGGCAATAAAAATATTTAACTTGACTCCGAAGAAACTACTTCGTACTGCAGGAGACCAGGGTTGCAGTGCGAAGTGGCAATGTTTTAGGCGTCAAAAAGACCACGACTGCTTGCACCCAACTTTATCTAATCTACGTTGGCATCGCTGGCTGTCTTGGGAGGTGATTCAAACGGGCTCGAAATAACCTCCTTTTCGGAAGCTGGTCCGTACATAAAACTCTTTACAGATTTACTTAAACAGATGAAAGGTTTTTGTAATAGATAACGTCTCAAAACACGCAAAGGTCGCGTGAACGACCGGTTCTTCGCATCAGGGAACCCCACTTGTAAACAAAAATTGAGCAATATGAAAATTATGGCATCCAGAATGAAAACTTGGCTTTTTGTGGCGAATCCCTCTTCAGTATACAACATGTAGTTGGCGTTGGCTTTCTTTTGAAAATAGATTTATGTGTTTGTTTGCTGGTCAGGTGGCATTTTGTTCAAGTTACTTGTACACATGCCTACAATATTCATCAAGAACTGAGTTTGCTAACAACAAGTAGTTTTCATTTCAGCATGAACTGATGTCCGGGAAACTACTAAAATCCAGTTATCAATATTCTTCAGTACATTCCATAAAAGTCAGATCAACGTTTAATACGCTATAGAAGCTTGAAGACTAAATTGAATCCAGGTCTTATTTGTTGATATGTATCAATAAATATAATTCTTATGAGTCCAAGTATCTTTGGCTCCTTAGCTCTAAGATTCCAAGGTGTGTTATCTACCAGTCTAAACAACCGGAATGATGGTGACTTGTCAATTTGCCGATCGACAGTCCAGCCAAATTGTTCTTTCGGTTAAGACTGTATGTTTAATCGGTTCGTTTTACTGTTAATTTGATTCAGACTTAATGTACTCAAGAGTAAAAGATTGCAAACCCAGGGAGTCGATCCAATTATAGAATTGAACTACAAGCTCCTCAAACAAACATAGTCGAAAGTCTACATCTCAGTGCTATCTTTAGTATCAGAAACTAGGGTTCACGTTCACGAGCTAGAAAAAAACTATCTTTAGCGATCGATAACCCATGGGTCTATCTCAAGGTCACTGTAACTTAAACCTCAAAGGAATAGAGACTACAGCAGTGATAACCTCGAAAGAACTGGAAAATAGGTTCCGGTGAATTTTGGACACTGGCCTGTACAGTATGTCTGCTTGAACGTAATTTAAAAATCTAAGTTAAAGAAAACCGCCGTTGGTAACAATTAAGTATCACATTTTTGGTAAATGTTTAAATCCACGAATTCAAAAATCTACAAAGACGGTGAATTTTGCTACAAAAGAACTTCTTGTAGGAGAACTGGCGTCACATAACGAAAATAAGTAACTCAGTTCAACCAAAGAAACATCTCTAACACGAGCACTTTTAGCATTGTTTGAGTCTGGTTTTTCGTGTTATAGTGCAAGTTGTTTCAGAATTTCTTTAGTTTCGAGCAAAGATCTACTCATTTCCGACCAGCAGGTTCACCTACAAAAGGTTTTGAACAAGACTGTCAGAATACTTTATCTCCTACGTTTGAAGAGTTGGAGATCGAAAAGCATCTCAGAGTTGAAATAACGAAATCACAACTCGCAATCGAATGCATATTTTATCAGATTACTCGGAGCAAAATAATTAAATTGGTAACATATGAAGAAATGAACGTTAAAAGCGATGCTGTTCATGCCTTGATTCTCTAATACTCTACAGGAGGAAAAGGAAAACGCGCATCAAAATGGCTCAGTCGCCTTCGAAAGTTGATGAGAAGCTATCATTCGATGGCTTCTTATTCAAATACTGCTTGACGTAATACTTGAAAACTATAGTTTTCCCCTGAAGCTTCTCTACTTTTTCTTGGCTATCGACATAGTTGACAGATACAAATATCAAGGACCATAGCAAGATTAGCAAATCTTAAAATGGTTATGTTTCGGACAAACAGATATCCTGTTTTGATTTCCTCTAGAACTAAAGTAATATAAAGCAGTTTTATGTTATGTTCGGTTGTATCTTTATTTTCAAGCATTCCTAAAATCTTTAAAAGCCTGTCTAAAAGAAACTGTGGTTTGTCTTTGAAATATACTTTCAATCCAAGCAAGAAAAAGCATCTATTACTGACAACGTTGCCGATGCCGTCAACTGGCAAAAAAAGCGAGAAAACGGGAAAATTTCATTTAATTCTGTGAAGCAAACAACAAAAGAATCATTTCTAAGCTCTAGATGTGTTTGCGAAAGCCGTGTAAGATTTTATGAATAATTCAGGTTTCCTTTGATCAGAATTAAAGCGTCACAAGGTGAATTTTAAACTCTGCTCATCCAGTAAAAAGCATACTAGGATTTCTTTGATCCTTCCTTCTCTTTTTGTTGGGCTTATCGTGGCATTGTTTGTATGGTTTTTGGCTATTCAGTTAACAGCAGTCCTGATTCAAAGAAATTGTCCACGTTTTTCATGAAGACTTTTTACGGTAGACCAACAGGTTGAATTTCGAAAAGTAAGTGAGCACGTGTGGTAATGTTTGTCCTAGCTTGTTGTAAGCAATTATAGTGTTTTCTTTCGATTCAACATTTCCGGATAAATTCATCACCTACTCGACGGAGAGGCGTACGGAAAAGTTGGAAAGCCAGATGACTTCAATTCGCCCAAGTGTGTTTTTACCTACTGATAATTTATGGCCGCTTTTGATGTTTAAAATTCCCAATCTAGACAAGTGTTGAACAGTTAATATGGCTTTTCACACGAACCAATTCATTTTGACCTTTTTGGAAACAACCCTCTCGTTTTTTCGTGACAGATTGTTCGATTGTCGTCTACAGGAACAGAGAAATCCGTGAAATGATGTCTTGCTCAAAGTAAATCAGTGAATATGCTAACACTCTCTTAAACAAATAACCCACAAGGCGGCTTCGTTTTAAGTTTAAATTTCCAAGGTGACGTCGCTTTATTTTGAAGAACGTTGCAGCAGAAACCCAGCCTTGAGGCACTGAAAGTGGCAATAATATTGTGTTGAAACAAATAGCCTTGATGCCAAAGTATTGATCGAAGTACCTCTTTCCCCAGAACACTTTAATGGCCTTGTGTGATTGACAATGGTAATAGATCCGTTCCTGGGCAAACATTCAATTATCAAAATAAAAACTACGCCGCTAACTGATTTTCTGGCGAGCAATTTTACGAGCAGATGAAAAAAAGCTCTTTCAAGGGGGAAAATGTCGTATGCAAAACAACTCTTCTTTTCAAAGCGTGATTAGTGATAATTTTCCAGACTTTATTATTAAAGAAGTAATATATTTTCAGATGATTTAAATGTTGCATTCAGGACTCGTTTACTGTAAAATAGAGACAATTGAAAAAGCCTTTTATGCAGTTTAAGTAACTCTAACTGTTCAGTTTATAGAAAGAGTTACGATGATAAAATACTTTTCGGTAGAATGCTCACTTTAGCAATCTCTCTTTAATTCAAATATGTAACATGACAAAAGGACATTATTGCTAAAACAAAGCAAAAAAATCATTAATATCGCAGAAAAACAGAATTGCAATTTTTTTCCCTTTTAATGGTATCTTTTCTCACTTGTCCTGATAACGGCTGAAGTTCTGAATCGTTTCTTGTGGAACTACAGTGATGCTGGTAAAATGAAACCGAGTGACCTAAACTTCTAAATGTTCCTTCAGTAGTTGTAATCCATGAAAACAGTGCATGATAATAATAGAAACGGACAATTACAAAAATAAGCAAAAGAAATATCAAACTGACATTATAGAGACTTCTTATCGAAATTGAAGAGGAAAAAAAATCGGGCACTAACGTACTACAAGTAACGGAAGAGAGTTATCATTTAAAGAGGCAAGATTGATTAACACATTCAAAGGAACTTCCTGCTAGCGAAACTGTTACTTGTAGAAAGCGCAAGATCTGACAACACCACTACGCGAGAATTAAAATTTCAGAAATAAGTATCATTCTGTACCATTCAACATGTTAATCATATTAAAAGGGTAAAATAAGTTAGAAAACGTAATAATTATTCATACTTTCCGAAATCTGTGGGCGGCCTTTGCTTTAGATGTTCAAAGGAGACCGATGCATACATAACGTGTATATGTTTAGACCAACGATGTAAATAGAAATTTAGACCGTCGCTGTGTGCTGATCAAAAAATCGAAAACTACTACTCGCTACAGACATTTCAGAAAATTTAAGATCGCGATTAATTAAAGTTACTAGACGTTTAGAAGAAGCATTACCCTTATTAAAATAGCCAGCGGTCCGTAACAACTGTAGGCAACAAGCAACAATCGTGACAAAGACGTTTGAGTGCTGGGGCAGACGGTCCAAAGGCCTTGTAGATTTCCCAAATTACCGATACCTTGAAATTGGCAATGACCTTCTGCCGTGTAATCTAGGTACTTAGGCAGAAAACTATTAATTATAGGAATATTTAATGTGAGCAAAAATATGAAATGTCATGAAGAAACGCGACAGCTTGTGTTCTAACCGTGTCGTGTTGCTAGAGTGTACTGACTTACTTTTCGTAGTCGGTTCTACAGTAGAGTTTTCTGTCCTTGCTGAAGCATGAACGCGATAAGGCGCTTCCACACACGCAGCACTGCAAACAGCTTTCATGCCACGGCTCGTCAGTGACTTTCATTACAAATCGGTCTTCGATGGGTTCCTGGCATCCCGTGCACACACTCATCCGTCTCTGAGTTCCATTTTGCCCACAGCTTGTTTTCCCTGCTAACAGATAGCAAAACAATCAAGTCAAATTAAACTCTAAACAGCAGCAGCCCTCTCTACAAACCTAGCTTCAAATAGGTGTAACTAACCGATTATTTTCGGAGCCTTCCGGTGGCAGCTATCTTCCATAGTCATCGTCGGTGACTCGGATCAGATCGCCGCGCGGTGGCAATAGTCCACCGCGCCGCAGAAAAAAACTACACAAACTCGGTCGAGGATAACCCAGACGTATTTATGTAGAGCAGCTGTCAGGGATATCCTATCTCTGTGATCTAAGCACCAAGCTACCAACACTGTAGTTGCAAACTTGCCACAGTATTGTTGTTTGTGTAATTGTTTTTCCGTGCGATTGACTTCTCTATTTTTGTAGCGTAGTTTTCTATTTATGCTCCATGCGAGGGACACGGCGGACGGACGATTCCACCTGTTTTGCAACTAGGACGGGGACTCAGTTTGGTTGGGTTGTGCAGTGATGTGCGAGGGCGCTTGAGTTTTTTCGCGCGCGAATCCGAATAGTATGAAAAGTTGCCCGGTATAAAGTCGCTTCGATTCAAGGCAACCTCGCTCTATCGGTTTGACACCTCAACAACTAAGCTATTGGTAGGAAGGGCGACTAGGCGTCTTTTTTATTGTCTCCTCTTTAATGACACATGACAGCTTGATTGATCGTTATGTGACCAACCAGGACCAACAGGACACCGAGTCCACGTGCATAAAAAGGGAAATGGCACTACTACGAAGAAAGTTGTAGAAAATATATTCGTTAAGTAGCCCTCTGTGCTTTATTCTTGACTTGATCTCGGGCAGACAGATTTCGCGCTTAGTGCCGCGTCTCTCTTAATCGATTTTGGCATCGAAATAATTGGTTTACAAAGGCTTATTATGATACACGCTTGAATTGACGAAAGTCACAAATTGCAGTCAATCTCGCTTCACCGGAAGAAAGCAGAAAAACGAGGCTCGTGTCCAAGGCATTGCCATGAAGAGGAAGTTTCCATAGAACCGCTGAGTGCGAACTGCACGTGCAAAAAATGAGTCCGATCTGCGCAGGCCACCTGCGGTCTCACAATTGTTCCACCATGTTAAGAAAAAAGCAAATTAGAAACGCGAGGAAGACGATAGAAATAACAACCCAAGCACACGCTGGGCGTTTTTACAATCACTCCTTTATTGCCCTGTTTGCTGCCTTAAAAAAGCGCACCGAATGAGAAGGATTAATTTTAAGTGGAAAATTATTCGTGTTGACTGGTGTTGCGTTATTTTTGGGCGCTCGGCGTCACGTTTGCAATTATATTGATGGCTTGTTGACAAGCAAAACTGTCGCTCATAAGTGGTTTTGCGACATAAGGCACGCCCGTGAAATTCGATACCGCCAATTGCAGGTATTTAGCGGCTTGAAGACAATGCGAAATCTCATGGGCAATTGAGTTCGTTTTCACCCTATTCTTTCCACGGCTCGAACAATTAAACCGCAGAAGATCGATACGTCGAAGACCTCTTGTATGTTAACTGCAAGTAGTGAGTGTAGCTTTAAGGTCAATCTGCGTGTCAATTGCAACCGGTGAATTGTAAATTTGTCCCTCCAGCGTCGAACCTAGAGCCGACGGTACTCAGCGCTGACTCAAGGTAGAAAACGTTTTCATTGTGGCTTAGCCTACACCGCGTCATTTTCGTGGCGAAAAAAAAGATCATTTAACCGTTGAGAATAAGCTTTTGTTCTTACACGACTGAATGGGGTCGGTTTCTTTGATTCGCTTTGTTATTTTCTGCATTCGAAATGATTTCTGTCGGCCTGGACAGACGAAAATTCGACGCCCGAAACGTTTTGTTGGTTTGAAAACTAAAGAAGCCAAATTGCATTGCTTGTTAACAAAAGTTTTTGTTGTGGAGTCAAGTTATTGTTTACTGGAGAATTGTACTTACGAGGTCATATGATCGCCGGATCTTTGTTAAGGTTCTTTTATGTTCGCTCTTTTGATTTATAAGGACCAAGGCTTCCTCCGTTCCGAAATATTTTTATTACGATCTTAAAATAACAAACACTTTGTGAATTAGGCAGTGGTTTTAGTGTTTTGACTCTGACTAAACAGACCTCTTAGCTTTAACTATTCGGTCAAGTGAATGGCTCTAATTAAGTGGCTCTTCGTAATTTCATCGTTGTAATTATTCGCTATTCATTTCTAAAGTGGTTAATTCTATAGTCCGGACAGGTATTGACAACAGTTACAACCGATCAAGAAAATTTTGTACCAGACACAGATCTCTTTATATCCTTAAGCATTCCAGCCGTAATGGTATGAAACCCTACTCTGTAAGGTTGGCCTAGTCAAATGTCCGATCCGACCTCATTGTTCGTTTGTTGTTCGAGCCGCCGACGAAACTCAACTATTTTATCGCTTTGTCGCGACAGCCGTATTACATTGCAGTCCTCAAAAGCGTCCTTGATTTTGCAAAGACAATCCAAATGTTTAATTCCAGGGGAGTTTTCTTAAATTGAAAATTGTGTTTACGTATTAGGGTTTTCAAGCAAGGAAATTATTGCGGTTAAATAGACACTTACGCACCATCACGCCTCTCGAGAAATAACAAATGCTGTGAGTTAGGCGGCAAATCTTTCATCTCAAGTGGCTACTGCCGCAGTTCAACAAGCTGACTTTAGCGGGGGGTTACGTGATCTTGTGCTTTGATTTATTGTCCCGGTCGCTCATTTGGCCTGGGTGGCCAACTTGTAATCTTAGAGTGGAAAACTTGACTTTTTTAACGCAGTAATATTCCTGAACAAATAAAATAACCATTAACCCATTCTAATCGCGTTTGTTTGTTCTCTGCTCCAGGCAAGATGTGAATTAAAGTGATGGCAGCGCGTGTAGAGAGGTGAAAACTCGGATTGTCGTGACATTTTTTTTTTCCTTATTGAAAAGTTAGTTTTGTGTTGAAGTAAAAAAATACTGAAGAGAAACACTAGAGATAGGAGCAAGATTCCGCTTACGTATAATTAGCAATAGAAAAGCACGGCTGGTATTCTACAAGTTTTTATTCTATTGTGTCATCGGCTCCCCTTTAGAAGAGGTGGAATCTTGAAAAATATATGCCGCTGACTCTAGCATTTTCTTCATGGATATTTCTTAACATGTTTACGTAGTCATTGTTGTGAGAAAATACTTTGTTTCCTTGATCTAGGAGCCCAAAGGCAGGCGAAGTCGTAAAGAAATTAACGTGCTGAAGGTTGGTTTTATGATGTCGGAAGTCACCCAACTCAAAGGGTAATATTATGCTAAAATATTTCAAAGGATTCGTTTAGGTTGCAGCTGCCGCTGCTATAGATGTTGTGTGTCCGTGAATTACGGTGGAAATTTGTTTTATCTTAAAGTGTGTGCTGGGTTGAATTGTACATTTTTCTCTTTTGAGCAATCTAACATTTTTTGTTTTTGATCTTAAATCCAATTTTCTGGTTTAATATAAACTGATCTTTGTAAAACTTTGACTCTGAGATAAAATGTCAAGTATTTGCTCTTAAAGCGGTTTTGCCACAAAATGATCAATTTTTGCGGGCCTCCCTGTACAACAGTGTTTTGTTTTCGTAGCCGTCTAGGTTGCAATGTATTGGGGCATTTCTTGAATACTTGATCAAAACTACGAGTATTCTTCGGTAAGTTTATATTATTGCATTTTCGCCGTGTCTATTCGTAGGATAGCTTTTATTATTGACAGATCGCACATTAAAAAAGTGGTTTTAAAAGGTGGTGGTCTTTCTTTCGTCGCTACAACCATAGATATTTGCTTTGTGTATTGAGCCGGTTTAGTTGTCATGGTTGTATTCGTCAGTAAGAGCAGATCTCAGTTAACTACATAGAACACTCATCTCAGGCTTTTTAAGAGATGTTCTAATCTTCTAGCGCTAAGATGGACCTGCAAAAAACTGTGTCCACAATGACAAATGTATCCGCAATATTTTATTCACTTAAGATGAACTGAGCTTCGTATAATTTTTTTTATTCACCCAGAAAGAACCTTCAGTTTGTAACAGTGTTATATTATAATAACTGGGTTCACGTTTCGCCTGTTTGAGGCAAGACGTTACTTTTCAATATTACTTCATCCACAGAAGTTTTTGACGAGTTTCTGAGTCCGGATACACGTTTTGCCAGCGGGCTGCATTACTTCGGTTTAGTCAGACTTACACGGCAATAACTTCTGTGCTCTCAACTCAGTAAAACATTGAGTTATTTCGGTTACACGGTGTGCAATATATTGATCGATAACAACCTCCAAAACAATTAGAACGAAACTTGGAAAGGTCAGGCGAGTGACCGGATCGGAAATCAGACTAAGACCTTACCATTTCTTGAGTTAAGCCGAGAGAAGTCTTTCGTTTGTACTCATCTTAAATGGACAGTTAGAGATTATAACAGGTGTCGGCTGATAATACGCGATATAAAGTATTATTCAGTATAATCACACGCTCAGACATTTTCGTTATGAGATGATCTTGTCATCAATGCTGCTCTTGATTACAACTGGAGAAAAAATTCAGTATATAACCTGACACTTACTAATTTTTATACCTTATAGGATGATCTTGTAAGCACTGTTTTTTATTGTTATTATCATGATTACATTTTCGGCATACGTCTTACTTGAATGAGTGGTGTAGATGAAATTGTCCAGCCTGTGCTTACTTAGTTATTCCCTTCAAAATGCTGTGCTTGAAATCATTTCTCTTACAGTTGCAAGGAAAAAATCTTTATGCCCTTAGGCTAGGTTTACGAAATGTTTTATCTTCTTCTTTGCACAAGGTGCACATTTATTCCTTTTACCACAAATATGCAGGAAAACTATCGGCGTTTTCTTTGATATTCAGAGACGTACACTGACATTTTCTCGCGTCTTAAAGCATTGTAAGTCATAACCAGACGGCGAAACGAAGTACAATTAATTTGTGGCCCTAGCGGACGTTTCTCTGATCCGGGTTGGGAGGTCCTTGTGGTGCCGCTAAGAGCTATGACGGAATTCTGTTGGCTATAAAGTAAAGCTTAAGAATTTCCCTCTGCATAAACAACTTCTAACATTCTCAAAGGAAAGAAAACTGTTCTTTTATTTCCTTTTAAGAGCTTGAAGATAGCGTTTTATTAGTTATCCTTAATCTTTATCAGCTGAGCACTGATTCTCTGTAGGAATTACACCCGGCCATCAAGATTGCTGACAAATAATGGTAAAGCCGAGTCAGTCTCTAGCCGCGTATATGGCTATCAAGCTTTCTACCAAGAATACTAGCAGGTGTATATCCAAGTGTATACAACTGACTGACTCCCCAAACTTAAGTCTCTTCAAACAGAAATTGCCACAGTTATAAATTGTTTGCTCTTTGTAGTTGCCTTGCTGTATTAACTACTCGTACATTAAGCGGGTACTGAATTTCTCGGTGGTCCGAGTCATCGTCGTGGAATTGACCGAACTCGTTTTTGTCCCCATCGAGCGCTGAACCCGTGGAGGATCAATAGCAAACAAGGAGAAACTCTCTTCAAATTGACAGCTATTCTTGGGATGACTTGTAAATGAGGCTGATGAGAACTAGGGACATCTGCAAGGTCTTCG